TTCTCTGAGCACAACTCTGCAAGATAATGAATTCCCTCCCGACATGAAGTCTCATCGTTGTTTGAAATCCAGCTGATGATGGTGGTGTCATCTGCAAACTTCACAACAGAGTTCTCTTCATGTCAGGGGATGCAGTCATGGGTGTACAGCGTGAACAGGAGGGGGCTGAGCACACAGCCCTGGGGGGCTCCTCCACTAGAGTGGAGGAGGTGAGTCCACCAATCCGAACTGACTGGGGTATGTTTGTGAGAAAGTCCAATATCCAGTTGCAGAGTGTTGTATTTAAACCCAGAGTGCTGAGTTTGCTGATCAGTTTCATGGGGAGATTGTGTTGAATGCTGAGCTGAAATCCACAAACAGCATTCTGATGTAGGTGTTGTATTTCTTAAATTTGAATTCGGGGTATATTTGGGAAATGTTTGCTAAGTGTTTTTGTCTTAGTGTTTTATATTTAGGGCATGAGGTTAGAAAGTGCAGCTCTGTCTCTACCTGTCCTGTGTCACACTGGGAGCAGAGTCTCTCCTCTTGTGGTAGCCAGCTTTGTCTGTGGCGACCCTTTTCTATGGCCAGGCTGTGCTCACTCAGTCTTTTTTCTTAGTTTAGGGCATTTTATCGTACTCAGGTAATTTGCTAGTGTGAATTCTCTTTTTAGGTTCAGATAACATTGGAATTTACTTTGTGTTTTGGTCGTTTCTTTCCAGTATCCAATATATTTTTCCTTCTGCTTGTTGATAATTTGGTTTAGTCTGCTTGAGTTGGTGTTGCTGTCCTGAGGCTGTTGGGGACTTGTTACTGCAGGGAGCCTCAGGACCAGCTGGCTGAGGGGACTCTTCTCTGGTTTCAGCTCCTGGTATGTTTGGGCTTTGTGATGGGATGTTTGTGGGTTAACTGATTTAATTGATCTTTTCTGTATTTTTGTAAGAGGGGGTAATGACCGAGCTCTGCTCTGCACAGATTATTTGGTGTTTTTCTCTGCACCTGTAGGATGCTCTTACAGAACTCGGTATGGAAAGATTCATTCAAGATCATTGTTTTGTCGCATTTCTCAAATTCATTATTAAGTTTTGGGCCCAAATTTGCCATATAGAATTATTGGTTCTAGTACAAATTGCCAGATTTCAATTGGAATATAGATTTTAATGTTTCTTTTTATTGCATAGAAAGCTCTCCTTGCTTTGTCCCTCAGCTCTTTCACGGCCATGTTGAGGTTTCCTGTGTATGTAATGTTGAGGCCAAGGTAAGTGTAGTCACTTACACTTACATGTTGTTATTTTCAGTTTCCAATCTTTATGGCACAGTCACTTTTTGTGTACATGTTCTTAATCAAATCATATGTTTTTCCTCCAATGCCACTTTCAAGTAGCCTATGGAAAAGGCCCTCGTGCCAGCTGGAGTCAACAAAACAGGCATACAGATGCTGGTCATATAATTAGAATATCATCAAAAAGTTGATTTATTTCAGTAATTCCGTAGAGCCCAGGTTGCTCTGATTGTGGCCTTCAGCTCTTTTGCATTGTTGGGTCTGGCGTATCGGATCTTCCTCTTCACAATACCCCATAGATTTTCCATAGGGTTAAGGTCAGGCGAGTTTGCTGGCCAATCAAGAACAGGGATACCATGGTCCTTAAACCAGGTACTGGTAGCTTTGGCACTGTGTGCAGGTGCCAAGTCCTGTTGGAAAATGAAATCTGCAAGAGTGGCTTGACACAAGGAATGCGACAGCTGAAACCCATGTCTTGCATACGTCTGTGCGTGGTGGTTCTTGAAGCACTGACTCCAGCTGCAGTCCACTCTTTGTGAATCTCCCCCACATTTTTGAATGGGTTTTGTTTCACAATCCTCTCCAGGGTGCGGTTATCCCTATTGCTTGTACACTTTTTTCTACCACATCTTTTCCTTCCCTTTGCCTCTCTATTAATGTGCTTGGACACAGAGCTCTGTGAACAGCCAGCCTCTTTAGCAATGACCTTTTGTGTCTTGCCCTCCTTGTGCAAGGTGTCAATGGTCGTCTTTTCGACAGCTGTCATGTCAGCAGTCTTCCCCATGATTGTGTAGCCTACAGAACTAGACTGAGAGACCGTTTAAAGGCCTTTTGAGTTAATTAGCTGATTAGAGTGTGGCACCAGGTGTCTTCAATATTGAACCTTTTCACAATATTCTAATTTTCTGAGATACTGATTTTGGGGTTTTCATTAGTTGTCAGTTATAATCATCAAAATGAAAAGGAATGAACACTTGAAATATATCAGTCTGTGTGGAATAAATGTATACATTATACAAGTTTCACTTTTTGAATGGAATTACTGAAATAAATCAACTTTTTGATGATATTCTAATTATATGACCAGCACCTGTATACCTTTCTTTTCTTAATGTTTAATTCTTGATCAATTAAAAACTAATTTGGCATTTATGCAGAATATTGTGGTCATCAAGAAAGTTGACAAATTGTTTATTTATATTATCCATTATTTATGTTGCAGAATATTTTTCCCAGGTTACTGGATACACATATTCCTCTGTAGTTATCTGGGTCATATTTATCTCCGGATTTATGAATTGGGGTTATTAAATCTTTGTTCCAGATGTCTGGAAGAGTTACAGTTGCTAGAATAGTTTTGAATAGTTTTAGTATACCCATTGATGTACTATGAGCTCTTACTAGTACTTATTGCTGCTCTTACTAGTATGTACTGTCAGTTGTAGATCTGTATTTGATGCTCTCTTGATGCTTGTATGTTGTTCCTCAAATGTAAGTCGCTTTGGATAAAAGCGTCTGCCAAATGAGTAAATGTAAATTTAATTGAGGATTCCATCAATACCAGAAGCCTTTTTTCCTTTCAGGGACTGGATGACTTCTATTCTGTCTTGTTCTGTTGCAGTGTAATCTAGAGGGTTTTGGTTGTTTTTTTATCACTGTCTCCAGAGTTTTCCATTTTGTGAATATCTTGTACTGATCATCATTTTTTGTAATATTACTGTATAATTCAAAAGTGATTAATCTAAGTATTTCCATCTTGGATCGCCAATTCATCCTGCTGGGTTTTGTTTAGGTTGTTCCATTTCTCCCAGAACTGGTTGGATCAACTGCTTAAAACAAGTTGAGAAGATTAATCTATAAACCTCATAAAAACTACTAGTTACCAGCCAGCAGTGACTAATATTTATCTTTGAAGAATAATGCAACTTACAGAGTTCTGGTCACTTGACTCAATGTCATCCAACCTGTGCTACCATGTAACGTGACTCGGGGTGTGTTCACAACATAAGACACCAACCTCAACATAATGGCAAAAAACTATTTTTCCAGGATAACAACACTTTGCAGGACATTTTACCTTCTCTCATTTTCCACGTGTGTTCCATGACTAGAAAATTGGTAAAGATCATCTGGATACTATTCCTAGTCTTTTTTCCTTTGTTGAAAAATGTGAGACGTTGCTATCACATGTCTGTTGCGTCTTGTCAAGTGAGAAGCTGTGGGAAACTGCGATAGGTCAAATTTGCAAGTCGCACTGAATTCACAGGGATTTGTTGAATGTGCAAAAAGTCGCAATTGCAAGATTGGGAAATCTTGGGACTGACTACAGCAGAAAATGTGAATTATAAAACAGTTGCCAACGCACCTTTTCATCCCGTCTGACTTTGATAAAACTAGCTGAAAGCCATAGACAGGATTGAGAAAAGTACAAACACATTGCTGCTTCAAGTATTTTCATGGCATTTGTTGCAAAATATGCCCTGTACTACGGAGCGAGGTAAATGGCTTATCCAGGTAACTTCAGGAGTAACCTTGTGACGTCGGGTGTAACTTGCGATTAACCCGTACTACCAAAGGTGCATAGGTGTTAGACCTCTGTTGCCACTGCACTTTACGCTGCGTCTCTAAACTGCTCCAAGCAGGTTATCTTTGTGGTTAATTGTGATAACCCTGTGGTCGTGGACAACACACATCTGTACTCTGTGTTACTGAGGAGAAGTAGGATATTAATAACATTTCACCCTGACTTGTTCCACTGGGCTGCAGCTGAAATTAAGTTATTTTTAACACAGCAGCATTACGTCGATATAGCGAGCCCTGCAGCCTCGGTGATTTTAGATCTTAATTAACGTGACAGTTTCTTAGATGTAGCCCATCTCTGGCTATAATTGAATTCTCCGAAATGTTTTCACATAGTCCTATTTAGATCCTATTTTACGTGTCCAAAAAATACAGAGCCAGGGTGGGGGTTAATAACAGAAAAAAGATCCTAGTTGAAAGTGTTAAAATTAAAACAAAAATCCCTGAAATTAAAGTCACAAAATACACCCATTCCACAGCAAAGTCTAAGGTGCATGATTGTGAGCTAAACTCACGAGTATTTCCTCACTACTAAACCAGATTGCAAAGTCTAATAACTTTTCACTGCATGCCTAATACACAGCAGAGAGGTGCGCGATGTTGCAGCCTTCCAAAGTTAAATGTATCTCAAATGTGTGACTAATGTCAGAATATTCAAGTTTTACTTGTAGGTTGATCTTGGAAATAAAATTTTGTCTCAGATGACCCCTCTCTGCAGTCTCCCCACCATATGTGCAGTCATACCTTTACATCTTAATCATTACATAAGAGATTTGAACTACTATAAAAACACTGGAGATAACCTGGCTATAAATTTACTCAATGCCAACAAGCCTCCCTGGCTTTGTCGGCTGCCACCATATTACATTTAGCCGTCTTGTCATTCATACACACACTCAATATGCACTCGTGAAAAAACTGCCTGCACACGCCCTTTTTGTGAACGCACACCAACTCCAGTTGTATTAACAGACTCAACATCTTATCCACTTTCGTAGTACCGTTTAACCCTAGTGTAGACAGTCAGTTTGTCAACCCTGAGTTTGCCTGACAATCCCAAGTTAACTCCCTTCATAGTACAGGCCACTGATTTATTCATTAGTATTGGATTCAACTCTGAAACTGTCATCCCACAATCAACAATCATTAAACGGGACACTGATGCTGCAAAGTTTTATTCAAACACCTGTACATGGTACAGGTGTACATTTAGGATAGACTTTACATTTATTCATTTAGCTGACGCTTATCCAAAGCGACTTACAATTGCTATACATGAGGTGGCATGCCTCTGGAGCAACTAGGGGTTAAGTGTCTTGCTCCACAATGGTGATGTCTCAGTGGGAATTGAACCCAGGTCTCACACACCAAAGGCAGGCATCTTATCTATGCGCCAGACACAGAGCAAGCCCTTACATGGGGCAGTGGCATGTAGAGAGATTTATAGGTGCTGGGGAATTTTACCGGGCGCCAGTGAAGCTGCCATGGCCTAGTGTAAGCGAGAACCCTGGAAGCAGAGTTCTCCACATGTTTATAGCCCGGTACAAATTGGTTTTATACACTTCACCCAGGTTAAATTCTATTGTCAGTCAGGTGACAAGCCGCAGCAACTGTGCTTCATTCGGCTCAGCTCAAACCCTACGTCAGTGTTTCACACAGGCTGTAGGGTTTACCGGTGACTGGCAGCAGCCCAGTCACATCCCAGCAGGTGGACTGAGACAGGAGCTTTTCCAGTAATCCAGACCAGCCTTGCACCATTACACTGAAAACACACAAAGTACATGTATTACCAAACAGCTCATACTCAACTTAGCATAGACAATTACAAGTAGTGTGTTTCAGGTCTTCAGTCAGGTTCTGGTAAATGGTTTTTACTTAAACCTGTGCCAAGTCCTGAGGTTTCTCTCCCAATACTAAGATTCCACAACAGAGAGGAGGAGGTCTCTGCCACGGCAGTACAAGATTGGGTTTACAGTTTGTGTGTACACACACACACACACACACACACACCTGTGCATCACTGCTGTATCCACATGTCATACATACCTGGCTCAGGCTCAGCTCTTTGCTGCCCCCTGCAGACCAGCTGCTCCACATGCCCCTGTGGAGAAAAGAAGCAGTCTGTAGAACCAGAACCACACTGATCCCTGCTGACAATCAGCTGCTATGCTCAGCGTTTAAAGTTCACCATGGTGTTTTGTCAGCATGATGTGTTAAATTTTCACTCATCACAGCACAAGTATTGTACAGGTACAAGGTACAATGCCCACCTTCAGTTAGCCTGCAGCATGACTGTCAGCTCCACAGCAAGCAGCTCAGCACCTCTGTCTGCAACACATTCAAGGAGAAAAAAAAGAAAAAAAAAGTGTCTAGTTACTAACTGACAGCAAGCTTTTTTTGGGTACTACCTTGAATTGACATGTCAGATGTGAATCAAGTCCCATTAAGTACAAGTTCAGCTTCTTGTCTTCCAAATAGCAGGCATGCAAACTGGTTAGGGGTAAAAAAGGTTGTTTAAGCTTACATGTTGTATAGATAACTTGCTATTGTGCACTGCAACATGAGAAAGACACCAACACGAAAGGCGTCACTGTGTTGACAAGTGGTGGGGACATTAAGGGCTAAAATTGGGTGACAATACACTGAGCTCATGAGAGGAGATGATACATATTTGGTGTCAGGAGAGCAAGATGAGATTATATTTTAACACTACTTTAAAGGAAATAGTCAATGCTGAAATATAGAAGTTGTGGGGGTCTGTGGGTCCTCCCTCTGAGCATTAAGTGCAGATTTAGCCATTAGTAGTGACTATTGGTTAGGCATTTGCAGCTATAAAGTTGCATGGCTCATGCTAGAGTAGACTAGCACAAACTAAATAAGAGCCCTTTTGTTTGTCAATGGCATGCCTACTCCTGACTATCTGAATTTATCTGTTGCTATTAAGGCTGGAACTAGTTTTCAAAATGAAGTTTGGGGATAAAAAAAACCCCAAAAAACCCCCCCACTGTTTTAAAACTGCAAGAGCCAGGACAAATTTCATGTCTGACTTCTGGCTTTTGGTCAGGCTCTAAGATGGCTCCCAAAAGCACACCTTGTGGTGTAAATATGCAATGTGCAGCCCTGTACTAGGCCTGCTCTTGGACCAGAACAGGCCACTCTCGTTGGGCCGCGCTCTGCAGCAGCTCAGATGCAGTGGACTCTAAAACAGAGCCTACACAGCTGAGACCAGGTACAGAGACTTCCTCTACCAGCACTGTAACACTGAACCAGGCACAAACCGCCTAGCCAGCTGACTGAGAGCTGGGTCCCTAGTGTGGGTTCTGTTACAACAACAAGTAGTGTTGGGAGAAACCTGAGCATAGCCTCAGGCAGAGGGCCATAACTCAACAATCTACCCTGTGCCACTATTTTAACCTGCAGGACAACAACCCTGAGTTCTCCTTGGAGACAAAGTGATCACTGTAATACTTTAATTACAGTTCTGTGCATTTACCTGAGTCCTGAAGAAAACACGGGGGCCTGGTAGCTCTGTCCCATGGCTGCCGCTCTGCCACAACAGCTGGGGACACAATAAGGGACCCAGCATTTATGGGGGACATGAACATCGTGTTACTACAAAATGATTGGCCACACTAAAAGTCCAACACATGAGCATTATAAAAGCATTACTAGCTATTAACATTTATGACATTTCATGTTAACATTTGATATTGATGCCCGCTTCTACAGCATTTTAATGGAAAAGGGACCCTCAAACTTGCAGACCCATCAAATTACCCAATAATGTAACTAAATTTCTACATTTTAAGAGCACTAACGTACCTGTGCAACTGTTTGGCAGTTTACGCTAACGTTCGCGCCATTTAAACCGTCGCATCAAACCACGATGCGCACTTTTCACTGCAATCCGAAAATTCCAGCGCCAACAGCGTCCATTTACAGGACGCACGTGCTTCGATGTTGCGAGGCTTACTGGCAAATGGCTCCCAGAAAAATCAGAGACTAACGTTATGCTGGCTGTTCTGTCGCCAGCCTACATGGATAACTAGACCACTTGGGCTGAGTCCAATAAGTGCTCATCAGCGATGTGCCGCGGACATTTGTTTAAACTGCTTGTACTCACCATGTTCGACAGAAAGCCTCGCCGCCGCAGAACAGAGAGGCAGAGAGGGAGTCACGCATGGTTTTATAAAGTGCCGTACGACGCTATGCATTATGGGAACGGACACTCCTTCTTCCTCTTTGACATTAAACGGTAGGTTGCATCCATGGTGTCGCATCACTGCCATCTTCTGGAGTTAGTTAACTCCTGAAGCCTCCCCCATCAGCCCTGGGGGGAGTTCAATCTCAAAACGTTTTGCAACGTTTTCTGACTGAATGACATGTTTCCTTGCAACGTTGCGCAACGTTCTGCAACGGGCTTCGAGGTATGTTTTCTCGCGTTTGGTGGGCTCGTCTTACACCAAATCAGCTGCCACAAGTTTGTAAACACAACGGTCGGCGTTGGAAAGGCAAGAAAATTCAGAGCGCTTGCGTACACAGCAGGGTGTTCAAGGCACCACCGTTTCCGTGGAAAAAAACGTTTTGCTACGTTTTGTCGGCGCTGAACTCGCCCCTGTTCTCTTAAGAAAGCTGACTAGACCCCTTCCTATCATTGTCGGTGCTCAAAGATGTTTTATCTATGTTGATGCGAAGAACCGTCCAATTAGAACCAGCATATAACATCAGCATTTCATTTTTTACTTTCTACTAACATCCTGTATATGCAAAATGTCTATAACTACCATCTTCATTTTTTCTGTATCATATTTTGTTAAGTTTAGATCATGCAATATCCAATTAACGTAGGAAACTGAATAAAAAAGAATGTAGTTGTATTTTAAGTATATTTAGTCTGATCCATCACAAAACAACACAGAAACTATTCCAATACACAAGCAGCAGTTTAACAGTTTAAAATCATATCTTGAAAACATCAATATTAAAAGGATACAAATGTAAAAAGTGTTTTTATGACTTGAAATAATGTGCTGTAACAGTAATTACTGTAGAATGATAGAACCTGTAGTCAGTAGTGTTCAGGTGTTGTGGAGTAAAAGTTAAAACAAAGGACTGAGCAAAGAAGTAAGGTGCAGGAGAGGAAAGAGCCACGCTGAAAGCTGGGACTGTTTTTTCCTGTAGAGCTGAACAAAGGTGCTTCATTGGATGGGTTCTGCAATCAGCACCGCTGGCACCTGAAAGACAAGATGGGTAGACATTTACTGACAGGATAGTTTCTTCCCAACTGCCTAAAGCTACTGAACTCTGAGATCGCCTCAGAATGATAACTTCTCTGGCATGCAACAGTAATTAGGCTGGGAATACACTGTTTACTAATATGTGCATTGCTGCTGGACACTGTGCAGTAGTGTATGCTGACAGGCAATGTGCAATAATAATATAAGCTGCAAGACACCTGTTGACCTTGACCACTCAAGTTTACTCTTTATTATTAAGATCTTATTTTATACTTAATATTGAACTGCACTAATTGACTTGCTTTCTTTTGAGAATTCTAATCCACCAAAGCGGCTGTCACACACCTAATTTATCGCCTAAACTTATCTAACTTTACCCAACCTAGGAACATCCCCCTAGTTACAGCCCAGTCACAGGTGTTGTACAGAGTTCTGCACACCTGCCGAGAATTGCATGCAAGTCGCGGGAGATAATACTGATATCAGTGGCGTAGACTAGTTTTTTGTAGTGAGTATACTGTGATTTTTCCTCCCAGCCTCATACCCACCCAACCCAGAGCGAGGTCCCATGAGCACCACTACACTCACTAATACAAACAGTATGCATGTATATGTAATAGAGAGCACTCTGAAGCACAGCTCAGGCTATGTGTTATCAACACTGCAAAGACTTTAACAGCCAATGACAGTTACAGTTGGGCAAGGGCGTCACTTTGTGTTGAAAAGTGGTGGAGACAGAGACAGGGCTCAGATTAGAGTTGTGACAAAACACTTAGCATACGAGACGTGAGAATCCAGAGTGTTGGGGTCACAAGAACAAGACTAGAAAATATTGTAATACTATATAAAAAAGTATTCATTGATGAAAATGTACAATTGGATGATCTGGGGGTCCTCCCCCAGAAGATTTTGGAACATTAAACACGTAATTTCCTGCATTCTGGAGACATTTCTCTGGTGGAAATGTCTTTATTTATATAAAGGGGAACAGGTGGCAGGTGACAATTCTGAATGTAAAATTATAATTGAATATAATGCAGTAATCAGTAACATTTTTTTTTTCCCTTAAGTATTTTTTGGACAATGCAGATCTGTTTTTTTCTATATTTGCATTGCATTGCATGTGCCAAAAAAACCCTTTCTCATAGCACTTCCATTTCTTATTTAATATTTCTTGTTGCAAGCTATTTTTCAGAACATTTTTAACAAATGCTTTCAAAAAGTGGTGGCGACATGTCCCTAGCATCCCCAGTGTAAATGACACCTACGCAGGTGGGGAGAATAGATTGATTTTCTAATGTTTAGTGTTAATAACCATCTAACTCAGCCAGTTAGGAGCTACATGAAGCCTTAGATGTCATATAAATCTGGTCCCTGGAGCCCGGGTTTTATCAGTGCACATTTAACAAAGTTAGTTGCTATTGTTAACTATTGTTAACAATAATGGAGAGCTGAGGCTTATCAGTAGCAGTAATAACAATGAACATAGGCTATGTGCAGTTCTATCACCAAAACTCATTCATTACAGAATATTTGTAACAGTGAAGACGCAAAAAGTGGTCCACATCTTCTCAAGCACACTTATCTTCCAAAACCATTGTCAAACTTAGGTTATGTAGCTACTGTATCAGCTTAAAAGCACGAGCAAGCATCCAGGAACTGCTACTTCTACTACTTACACACACACACACACACACACACACACACACACACACACACACAGACAGAGTATCCTGCATTCATTGATCCATCACATGAACGTTATTTAAGTTAACTAATAATAGATGCAATTTAATATATCAACAATGCTGTTCCAGTTCCATTAATGATAGCGGTTATGATAAACGTATATGTTACGATAGCATCAGCCTCATATGGCTCGTTTTCTGTGTTTCTGTAACTTTAACATTCGTGTCATCTGCTGCAGCTGCAGTGTCCCCCGCTATGGTCCCCCAGAGCGGCAGGAAATTCAGCTGCAGGCTTACGAAAACACTAAAAGAGGGTAGCTTGAGTTTGCTCGCGGTTCACGTCTCCTTTTGTGATTCATATTAGTTAATTCCAAACTCACTCCGAGTGATCGCCACGCAGCTGTGTTGTTGTTTGGTAGGTGACGTCAGATCCCGGTCTCAGGCCACGGAAGCTCCAGACGTCAGTTTAGTGCTTCGCAACACAGACGAGGTTAATTTATCATGAACGAGTGAAAGTTCTGTCACCAGGGACGTGCACAGGGGGGTTGCTCTGGTTGCCCGGGCAACTGCCCGTTTGCCTTTCCTGACTCAAGTTGCCCTTCCGACTCGCCCTTCCGAGAAAAAAAAATAAAATAAAAACATAATCGCGATCGCAAAGCCTCATTCACTTCCATTCGGGCACCGAAAGTGAAAGTCAGTAGGGGAAGGGCAAACTCTGTTTAAGTGGCTGCACTGCTGCAGCGCTGCCTGCACGTCAGTCGATTCTGTTCCCTACCGGAATTCCTGTTTCCTTCCTTTATGCAATCATACTACAACAAATCATGCGTAGTTTTGCCCAGTTACCATACGTGATACGTACCAACAGAAGTGAATACGAGCTAGAAGCGCAACTGAATGTACGGGAAGCCAAAAGGTTAAAAAAGGATTGTATTTTTTTCCGAAATCTAAGCGTTTTTTTATTTAATATTTTATTAGAAGCGAGTTTTCCCCATCTGTCAATTCAATCTAGATTATTTATTTTCAAATAAAAAAAAAAAGGAAAAAAAATAAAAAATAATAATGATTAAAAAAAACAATAAACAATAATATAAGGAACTCTTTTTCTCATATGTATTTTGGTGACATTTATATTGTTAATACATTTTGGATACTGTGTTTAGTGCCTTTTTTCAGGTCAGAGCAACTGCCCTTCAAAATTCCTGTGCACGTCCCTGTCTGTCACTAAAGGATGTTGTTATGTATAATCTTGCTATTTTAAGTGGGTATACGTAAATCTCTGACCGTTCCTAGTGGTTATACGGCGTATACCTGCGTATCACGTAGACTACACCACTGATACATACATATACAAATACATAAACACACTCATATTTTCAGTTGGATGGCTGTTTGGTTTATAGCTTGAACCCCTGAAAGGTAGGTAGCCTAATTGTACTTTCGCTGGCTTGTCTCCTAATGAAACCCATGAGGTATCTGAAGGAAGTAGGCTACAGTACTATAGCAAAAAGCACATACCTATGGCACGCATATTGGTGTACCGGATCAGCTGCCAGTTTGTGTTGAGGGTGCCAGAGCAGATGGGGCAAAACAATGGGCAGAAACGCAGTGATAGCTATGGGAAAAAACTTTTTGCCTGCAACTATCCATAACTCAATTTAACATGAGATCAGCTTCAATAATCCAGTTGAGGCAGATGGCCACCCTGAGGCATGGTTCTGCTCGAGGTTTCTGCCTGTACCCATTCTCATTCCCAAGTTGTCACATATGGACTCATGGTCAAGACCAATCGGTGGCAGTTTGTAACACACTGGGTATGCCTATAGCGTCATAGTTGAACGCAGTGGGGGAAGCCCTGTAGCGTCAGTTTTAGATGGTAAAAGCAGGTATATGATATTTAACAGGAAAGACTGAGTAAGGAGGTGGTTGGAGGGCCAGAACCCAAACTTTCAACCAGGAGACTGGGGTTTGTGTCCCGTGTGAAACAAAAAGTCAACATTTAAGGTTCAGTGTGTAATATTTCTGAGAATCTATTGACAGAAATGCAATTGGTGTATAAAGACCTTACATAATGAACCATTATGTTTTATTACCTTAGAATGAGACATTTATATCCACATAACCACGGGTCCTGTCTTCCATGGACGACTATGTTTCTACACAGCCGATAACGGACAAACAGCGCGATTCGTCACTACGTTCTTCTGCTTCTTCTTGTTGAATTCTGGCAGTGTAGACGCTCATCACTACATTAATACGTACATTCGAAGAAGTAATAATATACAGCAGGGGTTGGCAAATAAGTTTTGAATCGGAGCAATTTCTTTTATCCATTAATAGATGGGTGAGAATATTAGACATAATATTTAGACTGACTTTAATGGTGTGCAGTTAGCTCTCCCTGTCACCTATCAGTTGAGCTAATCCATGATGTGAGAGCCAATCACTTTGCCTGTCACTACCAAAATGCTACCAAGATTTGACCAATCAGATATCGCCCCACTAACAAGAATTATGAAATCCAATCACCTTGTGTTGCGCCTTCCATGATTTGTCCCATTCCCACTGTTGGTCACGGTGCTGGCCGCTTCAGTAGAATCAGGGGGGCCGCCAGGAATTTTGGGCCCCACGACAAAAAAACTCAAATTGTACCCCCTCTGCGCAGCTGTCGTCACCACTGCTCTAGGACTTAACTGTCCCATCAAAAGCTTTACATAACTCTAATTAAAGGCTTGCAAGTGTCTGGCTTCTTGTAGTTCAATATTAGTACTGCTGGTGATTTGTGCATGCAAGTCTGCATACAGGATGCAGTTCACTATTTGCTTCTCAAATAAATTGCCCTTCATGATGGAAATAATAAAGTCTGTATCTATAGATGTCATTTAACAGCCATAATTCAATTTAAATGAACGTATCAAACTGGATTATTTTCATATAGTCTGTAATTTACATGCAGGCTGAGGTAAGCTGCTGTCCAGCATCCAGTACAGACAGGAAGTTGTTTTTTTATTTTATTTATTTCATAATGATCATTATGTGAGAAAATAACTTGTGTTTGAATTTCTGTCATTAAGAAATATTTCATTGTCTTTTTTGTTATGATAAAAAGAGCGAGAGAGACAGAGAAATCCCCACAGACTCCCTGGAATGATGCTAACTGGCATGTCATTCACACAGTGTTGCTCGCCTTCTTCACTGGGACAGTTATGAGGAGACTGGGGTGCTGCTGACTTATCTGTTGTTAGTCTGCTAAAAGGGGTAGGGGCAATGATTTAATATGAATATCTTGCTAAATGTTTCCCTGCACTGATTAAAGGTTGATGAAATGTAGGCTAACGCTAGTCTGTAGCTAGCTAGCTTATTTCACTGTGGACATTAAGCCAACAGGTTAACACCACTCGCAGACTAAAGGCTGCCCACCTTTCTTGGGGAAAAACTGGGTTACAGATTGACATCCTTTCCTTTGTCTTTCCTCTCTTTCCTTTTTGAAAACCAGATTTTGGTTTACTATGCAACATTGGGATCACTGTATTTCTGGAGCATCTACTTACTGCATGTAAACACCATCACTGATGAGTGCGCTAAGGCAGGACCAAACCATTTCACGCAGATACAGGGTGGTGGTCGGTCAATATGGAGGTTTACTTTTTTGTCAATGGGGATTTTTAACTTTTACTGCCAAAAACAAGAAAAAACAAAGAGATCATTCATTTTATTATTATATTTGAAATATATTTATACTCAATGATGATGGTTTATATAATGTATAATATAATATAATTTGATAGTAGTTTATAATTATTTTTTGGGGCCCCTGTCAGTCAGGGCAAGAAGGACAGACGCTTTAATGAACTGGATGGAGGCTGTAAAACGGTGTGTACCTAGTGGCATGTTAAATGCAGAAGTTGTGCTGCGGGATCAGTTTATGGAGCATGTGATAGATGGTGCACTCTGTAGGGAGCTAAAACAGTTTGAGGCCACGGCCACCCTGCCTGATGTTAGGGGAAAGGCAACCTGGTGGGAACGTGAGGGTTTGCCCGGGGGAGTGAGGGCCCGTGGTCACATTGATGCTACGGTGCAGCCACTGGAAACAATAAAAGTAGCTTATTGGAATGACACACTGCTAAATAATCTAACACAATATTTACAGCACACTTATGGTTTTGAGAAGATTAAGACATAAACAAAAAACTGACATGATAATCACCTAGCGTTAGTTTATTAAGGTAATAAATATCTCAACTGAATGTCAAGCTGACCAAATGATATGCTATGTTACAGCCAATATGCACTGAATATGATAAGTTATGAGATTTACATACCTCCTGATGGTCTGCCACGATATTGCTTCTGCTGCTGCTTGTTTCATGGCAGTTGGCATCCAGCTTGTTGGTGCAAAGGACAGGGACTCTAATCAATCATATGTAGTGATACAATACTGACTGGATCTGCCCACCTACTGACAAAAAGATGAACCGTGAGTGAGCAAGCAGGTTAAAGTTTTGCGAGCTGCAGAGCAAGGACTACTTTGGATTCTGCACGCGCTGAGTTTTCCCCTCGTGGGTTACAATACTCAGGGTACAAATTTAAGACTTTTTAAGACCTTTTTAATACCTAGGATGAAATGCCAATGCCAATTAATACCAACTTCACTGCCATATTATATATATAGAAAATGACTATTTACCAAGTTACCTGAATTTAATAAAACATTTTATTATTGTTATACTCACATTAATATTTAATACACAATAGCTTTTTGGGGTGTGTTTGTACTCTGATTACATAAAATGAATACAACATTCGTTGCATTAAGAACTCTTATATTATGAACCCAAAAATACATAAACAAACAAACAAATAGAATAATAAAAAATGAAACAAGTGCAGTATGAGTTGTTACAATTAGTTACACCTTGGCTAGATAAGGTAATGTAATAGAATATGCCAATGTAAATGCCAATTGCTTTAGTGATTATTGATCCTGTTCCGTTTTTGCATTCTTCTTCCCGGCGATCGGCGCATCTGGGTGATGTAAGTTTAATGTGTGTTAGCATGTTGGATGTTTCCATTCACATAACGGTACAACAGCGGCGCAACGCCGCCACACAGACACAGTCCTCGTCTTAGGCTACGTTCAGACTGCAGGCCAGTGTGACCCAAATCCAAATTTTTTGCCCATATGTGACTCAGATCTGATCTTTTCCAGTTCGGAATTGGTCCACCTCCATATGTGGTCCAAATCCGATACAGATCGGATCTTTTTAAATGCGACCTGAGTCTGGACACTCAGGTTGCATTTGATGCGACTTTGACGTCACTGTAGAGCAGCTGTTCTGCCGCAGACGGAGCCGCGCTGAACGAAAAAGCTCCACAAAAAGCCTTTATCAAACATGTGGCTCTCTTCCTCCTCTACCTCGCTATCATCTGCTCACAAATTCCCTTTCTTCCACCTGAAATCCACCGGACCGTAAGCTCTCTTCTGAGTTACGTGCATGCTATTTGTCCGAACGGACAGAGTGGGGAGAGAGAGAGAGAGGGAGGGAGGGAGTTGTGGGGCAGTTGCATTGTCCAGAAACCGTAATGAGAAGAACAGAAAGTTGTGACCACTTGTCATCATTCGGGTGAAATGTGACCCGTGAGAGGACAATAAAAAACGGGAGTCTCCCGTGAGCTAACCGGAGCTAACCTCTGTTGCTCCTTGTTTACTTTTGTAGCCTGCAACAGCGTGCTGCCTGCAGTCTGGACGTAGCATTAGATACAACTCTCTCAACGCTGCTGTTGTAACATTCACTGACCAGGAACCTGCAACGGGTCTTCCAGTTCTGCTGTTTCATTAGTGCTCGCCATAGTGTGACTGACTCGCATTCCACTCCGCTTGTTATACTGTCTTCAGCCCCACTGCCCTCAGCCTCGTCCGCCAACTTGTCCGCATCTCTGGCCTTCTGAACTTCAGACCAGCTAATGTTAGCTTATTAGTAGCACGTCAGAGACGTTTTGTTTTCTTTCCTAACAACTGACTAATTCACACCAGAGGTTTGATGGCAGCACTTGTGCACCACAAACACTCCACAGTCCATAGCGTAAAGCTAAACACTGACTTAAACAGTAACGTTACCTTACTGCTTTATAACATCAAACGGAGTAAATTGTAAAGTCACACACACAAAAAAAATGTATTTATGATGTTACGGCATTTTCTAATCTTACGAAAGGACAAGAAAAGATTTAAGACCTTAGTAAACGAAATTTGAAACTTTTAAGGCCTTACTTAAAAGTACCCTGAATACCGCTTGAATCTAATGACCTCTTGCGTAAATGTTCTTTGCAAGATTTGGCAGTGATATGCCACCTTATTAAACTCTATGGATTAAGAATGGCATGTAAAGGCAGATGACCCAAAACTTTTAGCAATATAATGTGTGTGTGTGTGTGTGTGTGTGTGTGTGTGTGTGTTTGTATACATGCATATTTAATTTTTTAACCTTTATTTTAACAGTAAAGCCCCATTGTTACACAGTCTCTTTTCCAAGTAATTTAGGTACACAGAGGAAACTTCACTTCAGTATATGTATTTATTTTAAACATAGCTTACAATTTCCAAAAGACTGGAAAAACAGATGGTAAGGTTATATATGTAACCAGGCTTTGAATTAAAAATATATCTTAAATATCAAATTGATTTAAATCTTAAAATGTCCAATATTAGATAGATAAGTTAGATGTTATTGTCCCATGGAAAATTTGTCTTGAACATAAGCAAAACATTAAAAAAGAAGAACGCATCAGTTGCACAAGCCCATCTACATCAGAGAAAGTGTACACATAGTACAATAAATAATAATAACAGTGATCAACAACAAGAAGGACTGCCACGGCATACACACATTTAATTTTAATGGACAGGGACAAAGAAATATTTGAAGCAGTTTGAAGCATTTGTTATGATTACATTAATATGATCAAAAACTAAGTCAACAACTTTGCTAACAGTCAAACATCAAGAAAGTGGGAGAACACTTATTTCACGAAGCAGGCCTGGTATGACTACAGTCTAGACCTACGCTATATGAAAAGTGCCCTTAGATAACCTCTCTTATGATTTAGGGCTATATAAGTAAAATTGAACTTAATTGTATTTAAGGTATTATTAATGCAAAGATTTGTGAAAAGATGCAGTAAAATAGCTTCTACAGTTGCTACCAAGGACAGTGCATTAGGCAGGTGCTGCTCCTCCAAAGTCAAAAGCAATTTCGCAGTCACGCCGACCTCAGCAAAGAAAGTGCAATTCTGCGTTGTACTTCTGGCATGTCATAGTAATCACGTAGCGGTATTAATGATTATGTCAGTGCGACCGCGCTGGGAAATTGTTATTATGCTGGGTCGGGAAAAGCCAACTTTCCTACAAAGCCCGTCTGCTTGCCTTCTCATCGGAGCAGACAGTATGGACTATACCATGATGGGCAACAGTAAAGTGCACTATGTACACCAACGTCACAATTTACCCAAAAGTCGAAAGCACAAAAAACACTACGTATTTCGTTAACTGCACAGCTACCTGTTGACAACAACTTTTCTACTTTCTGGGGATGCCCAACTCAATTCCCGGACCAAGTAGACAAACTGAACTCACCACACTGGAGACAGACAGCGTCGTCCAGGTGGTCCACGAATTGGGTGAGTCTTTGGGTCTGGTGATAACTGCATCTCCCTGTCTTTGTCCAGGAATTGACATGAGCCATGGAAATTTGTCCTCTATGATTTCAGTATTTTCAGATATTGACCTGGACTCATAAAAAATATTGCAACTAGGAATCTATCAGCTGTAGCCAATGAAAAGGCCCGAAGGAAGAGGAGGAGGGTTAATGTTTTATGTTAAAGATAATATCATCTGCCATCAAATCCAGTGGCGTTGTGATAATTTGGTTGGATTTATTGGTCTTAATATTACGCTGTCTCCACAAATGTTTTTTACCCTTGTTGGTCTGTATAGACCACCCTCTTTTTTTTTTACCAGCTAACTAATATACTAAAAGAATGAAATTTTGAAAAAGAGGTTATTTTAATGGGGGATTTTAACATAAATTGGGAAGATAAATGTATAGTATAGGCGCAGCCCTCTAAGGCTATCGCTATTGGGTTTACCCCTCTGGGCGCCTGTGCTGCACCGAGAAAAGTTGTCTACGCCCACCCACAGCGTGGGCCTCTCCTACGTCCGCACCTTGTATATATACAACGGTGAGACCTGGCCTTCAAAACCTATACGAAATAGAACAGAGGTGCCCTTAAACAACTAACGAAATGCCTTTGATCTGATACAGCTAATTAAGGAACCAACAAGAATAACACAGCAATCAAAAACACAGATAGACCTGATATTTAGTAATGAACCAGAAAGAATTGTCAAAACACTTAATATAATAACTGGGTTATCTGATCATAACTTAACCCTTGCAGTTAGGAAATTATCCAGAAAGTGCTTTAGTTGTGGTGTAAAAAACCCCTGTGAGCCCACTCAGCTCAGAATACCTAAAGGAGATAAAAATAATTTGGTTAAAGGGATTAAATGGAATAATATTCTGTCTCGTTCTGATGTTGACTCTGACTCTCAGATTTTTCTCTCCACAATCCAATGTATAATGAATACCTTTTTAAGGAAAACTAAACCTGGCTGCAAACAAAAAAGCACTCTTCCATGCTTAAGAGGTGATATACTGTTGAAAGCCACCCTAAAATCTGAATTAGTAACGGATAGATTAAGAAATACCTTTATAGAAATAAGGTAACAAGAGACATTAGGAAAGCAAAAGCTATATTTTTTATTAATGTTATTGTCCAAGCAAAAGGAAATACTAAATTGATTTGGGAGAAAATAAAGAGGCTGACAAGTAAACATCATAATGGTAACGTACAGCGCATTACTTTTGTAACATGTTAAACACTGCCTATAAATTATAATAAACCTCCCTTCCCTTAAGAGTTCCTAAGCCAAAGATGTGCATGGACTGGACACAATGTTCCTGAAAATGTTCAATGAGTGTTTTCTGACCCACTAACAAATGCTATCAATAGATCCATTAATGAAGGGGTCTTTCCAAAAGCATGGAAGACAGCTATAATAACACCAATTTACAAAACAGGTGATCCATCAGAGGTATGCAATTATAGACCAATTAGTATAGAAGCTATGGTGTCAAAGGTAATTGAAAGGTATGTAGCAGAACAACTTACTAGCACTAGATTGCATCCTATGCAGTTTGGCTTTAGATATAACCATTCAACGCAAAGCGCAAACTGCTTTTTCCTTGAGAATGTGAAATCTAAACTAGAAGGGGGAGTTGTTGTGGCCATATTCTTAGACCAAAAGAAAGCCTTTGACACTGTGGATCATGATGTCCTACTTGCAAAGCTCTCATTGTAACTTCACCCCCAATAGTATTAAATGGATGAAACCATTTCTTGAAGGCAGAGCTCAGAAGGTCAAAGTAACAATCAGGTGTCATCAGCCTTCAATTGTGGTACTGATGTACCTTTAGGGATCAATTCTGGGCCCCCTGTTCTTTAGCCTTTACATAAATTACCTATTCACTGTATGCAATGAGTTTGAAATTCAAATGTACGCAGATGATCATGTATGTACATGCGACAAACAAACAGCAAGCTGCATGTAAGCTCACAGCAGTGCTGGCCGATGTCACACAGTGGCAGCAAGCTGAACATACAAATTGTCTTCATTTAAACTAGTGCTGTCTAACAATTATTTTTTTCTTAATTGCGATTAATCGCTGAATTTCAATAGTTATTCTCCATTAATTGCATGTTTTATCACATGATTAAAATTCTATTATTATTATTATTATTATTATTATTATATATCTTACTATATAATCTATATCTCTATAAGTCTGTATTAACAATGATAACAATTCTTGCCAGTGTATCTTCATTGGAAATCAAATTAATGCAAAGAAAGTTAGTTTTTGAACTTGACTAAGATTTATTTGATTATTTCAAATCAAAAGATGTGCAACGAGACTGAGGTAAAACAATCAATGTAAATAAAATATACTCTTCCTTAAGCTTGCTTTCAAAAATTCTACAGCAAAAGTGCATGTACAAAATGTACACACATTATTATAAAGTGCATAACAAACAAAATACTCCATTGCTACATTATTTTTGAATTCAGTTGAAACCAATGAGACAGCACTTGCTTTAAGTAGAAGTTTCAGTTTGACAGCTTTCTCTGTTTCATACAGGCTATGTATGCGTGCAACAATTGTCCCCCGCAACGACAATGTATATAACTTACACTCTCCAAAATAGTGCTTTGCCTCAGTCGGCTAGCATCAACCTGATTAGCTGTACTAGCTGTATGCTTAGCTCGTTGATGGTAACGTTAGCTTAAACTCGAAGTGCTTTGATGATATTTTAATTCCTTTTCACGCAAGGTGCATACTGCTTTTGACTTGTCAACGGAGCCGTCTGGGACTGTGTTGTTGTTCATCTCCATGGCTGCAGCAGGAGGTAGGAAGTGTCTGTCATGACAACAAGTAAAGGTGCATCGAAGGGTCAGAATAGTAGCAGCCAAAGATCTTTTTAGCAAGGATTCTTTGGTAACAGCGCCAGTGATGGTGTAAAATAAGAATATTTGACACACGCGATTAACATAATTACAAAGCATTATGATCAGTCCTTAATCCCATTGCGATTAACGCGTTAATGCTGACAGACCTAATTTAAACATAAAGAAAACAGCTTGTATGTTCTTCACGAAGAAGTCTCCAGATGATCTCACACCCAATATTTACATTGCAGGGGAAAAGCTGACTGTGGTTTCTGATTTTAAATATCTTGGTATAATAATTGATTCTAATCTTACATTTAAAAAACAAACTAAGAAGGAAATAAATGCAGTTAAGTTAAATCAGTCGAACTTTTGCCATATCAGAAACTAACTGTCTAACTGTCTAACTTCTAAGGCAGCAACAGCATATTTTAATGCCAGGATTATGGTATGTTTGTCATACTTTTTGACTAGTTGGGCACGAGCTTCCTGTGCAACACTCAAACCTGTGCGGTTAGTATACCACCAGGCTTCCAAGGTGCTTGACAGAAAGCCAAATACTTATCACCACTGTTACAGCCTAAACAATCATAGTTTACTGAGCTGGGACAATCATATTAAATTTACAGATTGGTTGTCTTGATTTTGCATGACTTGACTCCACCCCCTCCCCTTATTGCTTTTATAAAGCAGAAAACAACTGATAATAGACACACTAGGTCTGTAGCAAGAGGAGATTGTGTAATAACTGTGAGAAGGACTTTTACGTGTTCTTGTAAGTACTGTTGTTCCTGTTTTAGTGCATTTTATGTAGTTATGATAACACCTGCCCAGGGACTTAAGGCAAACATTAGCCAAGCTGGCTAAACTGGCACATTTACAGAGATGTTTATTAATGTGCACTGTCTCTGTAACCTTAAACTGTATAAATAAAAAGATAAAAATAAAATATGCAGCAGGTAAAGAGTCAGACATTGCCGGTGCAGCATGGGTAATGTAGTCAGAAGGTCATCACAGTTGGAATGGTTGAGGTGTAGTTAACAGAGTGCACATTCCTGAAACAAGAAAAAAGAAACTATATATAAAATATTGCTTAATAGATTATTTGCCTTTTGACTTTTTATCTTGTAGAATCTGGCAGGTGATATTACAGCTCACCTCAGCTGAAATGGAATATACACTCACCTAAAGGATTATTAGGAACACCATACTAATACTGTGTTTGACCCCCTTTCGCCTTCAGAACTGCCTTAATTCTACGTGGCATTGATTCAACAAGGTGCTGAAAGCATTCTTTAGAAATGTTGGCCCATATTGATAGGATAGCATCTTGCAGTTGATGGAGATTTGTGGGATGCACATCCAGGGCACGAAGCTCCCGTTCCACCACATCCCAAAGATGCTCTATTGGGTTGAGATCTGGTGACTGTGGGGGCCATTTTAGTACAGTGAACTCATTGTCATGTTCAAGAAACCAATTTGAAATGATTGGAGCTTTGTGACATGGTGCATTATCCTGCTGGAAGTAGCCATCAGAGGACGGGTACATGGTGGCCATAAAGGGATGGACATGGTCAGAAACAATGCTCAGGTAGGCCGTGGCATTTAAACCATGCCCAATTGGCACTAAGGGGCCTAAAGTGTGCCAAGAAAACATCCCCCACACCATTACACCACCACCACCAGCCTGCACAGTGGTAACAAGGCATGATGGATCCATGTTCTCATTCTGTTTACGCCAAATTCTGACTCTACCATCTGAATGTCTCAACAGAAATCGAGACTCAGACCAGGAAACATTTTTCCAGTCTTCAACTGTGCAATTTTGGTGAGCTCTTGCAAATTGTAGCCTCTTTTTCCTATTTGTAGTGGAGATGAGTGGTACCCGGTGGGGTCTTCTGCTGTTGTAGCCCATCCGCCTCAAGGTTGTGCGTGTTGTGGCTTCACAAATGCTTTGCTGCATACCTCGGTTGTAACGAGTGGTTATTTCAGTCAAAGTTGCTCTTCTATCAGCTTGAATCAGTCGGCCCATTCTCCTCTGATCTCTAGCATCAACGAGGCATTTTCGCCCACAGGACTGCCGCATACTGGATGTTTTTCCCTTTTCACACCATTCTTTGTAAACCCTAGAAATGGTTGTGCGTGAAAATCCCAGTAACTGAGCAGATTGTGAAATACTCAGACCGGCCCGTCTGGCACCAACAACCATGCCGCGCTCAAAATTGCTTAAATCACCTTTCTTTCCCATTCTGACATTCAGTTTGGAGTTCAGGAGATTGTCTTGACCAGGACCACACCCCTAAATGCATTGAAGCAACTGCCATGTGATTGGTTGATTACATAATTGCATTAATGAGAAATTGAACAGGTGTTCCTAATAATCCTTTAGGTGAATGTATATCAAAATATAGCATTCAACTAATGTCTTGAAAATGTTCATTCACAGGCAATGTTAACTCACTTTATTTTTATATAAAAACGGTATGGTATTCATTCCAAGAACAAAAAACAATAACAGAAATTTTCCGTGTATAGCAAGGCGACAGTGCTAACCACTGCACCACGATGCCGCTTTGTAGTGATATATATTAACATTTATTCCTGTTGCCTTAATTATGGTCCTCCAAGTGAGAACAGAGATTGGGGAGATCAATAACAGAGAAAGGGATCAAACCTGTTTACATTAACTGTGATGATACTCTTGACAGGTGTGCTCTTAGGACCAGGAGCAGGACGAAAAATTGGCTCTTGATTGGCTGATTTGGAATGGCGAACGACGTATGGATCAGCAGAATGTAAGGGATAAGTATCAAATGTCCCCGCTTTCATTCCTCCAATCTAACACAAGACACATTCACATAAACACGCAGATAAACTGTTAAAATAGTAAAACATCAACATCACATGTCATGTCATTAATGTCACTGAATGATCAGCAATAGATTTTTCAGTCAGATATTCCCCTCTAATCCTGATACAGTACAGCAGATAAAGGGATAATCACCTTCTTGCCGGGGGAAGGTGGCTTGAAGGGAACTGGAGAAGCTTTCTGTGCAGGTGGGAGTGGTGTGTGTCCTGGTGGGAGGGGCTTGTCATTGCGGTATGGATTGCCTTGGAAATAATCTCTGGGGTGAAGGTTGAGTTTAAAGGGACCTTCTCTTAACTTGGAGCGATGGATTGCTGCCTCCTTCTGTATCATACACACATACAATTGAAATGTTAAACTTAATGTTAAATAAGAAGTTTTTAATTAAAAATCACAGTGGTTTTCACCAGTACATGTAACACTTTAAAGACCAGGGGTCTCATTTATAAAACTGTGCGTAGAATCCTCACTAAAAGTGTACGTGCGCCCAAAAGCCAAATATGGCGTACGCCAAAAAATATTCAGACTTATAAAACCGTGCGTACGCACACTTGTAAACAAGTTCCCTTTATAAATCACAATCAACTTGAAATGTGGCGCATGTGAGGGAGCTCCATGTCCGACCCTTCAAATGCCCATAGTTGCCTATAAATTGTCAGTGAAACGCCCCTCATTAATATTAATACGTCCTGACTGCAGGAAGAAAAGGAGGCAAATTCTGACAAACTCTGACAGAAAAGCTACAAAAAGAAATTTAACTCAGTCCTTTTGGTGAAGCTGAAGCATGGTGTGTGGTGGGTAAAATAACGCACTTTCACGCAACGCGGAGGAAAGGGGGAACCGGAGCTCCACCCCTTTATAACCGATCTGCAGGAAGGGCTATCCCTCCTGAGTAGTGACGTCACTGGCTGGAGGGGATGACCCAGGTACCCAGGTTGGATTCCCCCGTTTGAAAAGAGGTGAAACCAAACGCATTCCGCTTGTGTTTGAACATTTATTTAGGCTCCACACACAGCCCACTCACTTAATGAGGCTGCCGATGAGTTAAAAGAAATATGACTTGTTGTAAATGACATAAAATAGGGTTATATTTCCATAATGTATTTTTACAAGCAGCGCATCACATCCACACGCTGGCGCACAGCGTTTGGCTCCATAAGGAAACGAACATGTGATAATAATATATGAAACTATGCTCGGGCATTTGCACATTGAATACGGCATCAATTTAAATGTAATTTGTCCTCTTGTTCACCTTATTTATCTGAATAAATTGCGCTGCATGGATATGATTCCTGATTACACTGTACAACATATTTGAGACATTCTTTTGCAGAAACAGATGTCTCCATTTGTGTTTATGATCCTAAAGAAAAATGCACTATTGAATATTCTGTGTGAATACGTGTATGCATATAAATAATTGTATTGGGGTTTTTTAGTTGTTGTTTTTTTATTTTATATGTAACCATATTTTAATGTAGGCCTATACTTATTTATACACTTACACTTATTTATATGTTGTGTGTGTAGCATGAAGGAACTTTGGACAAAACACAGAAAGTGCATGTGCACAAAAATTTTCTGATTTACTGTGCAAACTACGCTGCTTTCCCTTAATAAATCACAATCATATTGAAATGTGGCGCATATGAGCCAGCTCCTTGTCCAACTCTAAATGTTTATAAATAGTCAGTGAAACATCCCTCATTAATTTTAATACGTACTGACTGCATGAAAATAAGGACAGAAAAGCTTTAAAAAGCTTTAAGAAATTTAACTCAGTGTGACACTGATGTTCCTTTTAGTGAGGTTGAAGCAAGGAAAATTATGTTTGGTGGGTAAAACGCACATACACGCAATGCTGTGCACCGGAGAAAAGGGGGCACCAGAGCTCAATACAGACCAGTGATGGTGGTGGAAGGGGACACATATAGGCAAGATGGATGACCCAGGTGCATAATTTCTTAACTAAAAGGGAGTAAATGTAAATGCTCCGTATTTGTATAGAGCCTTTCTAGTCTTTTCGACCACTCAAAGCGCTTTTACACTACATCTGTATTCACCATTCACACACAATCATACACTGAGCCTAAGTGCTCAAACAGAAACTAACATTCACACACATTCATACACTGGCGGAACAAAATACTAAAAATAAATATAATTAGTTTTATGTGACATAAGTGGTACACAGAAAGGAAGTTTTTCCTTGCCTCTGTCTCCTAGTGCTGCTCTTGGTAGGAACTGTTGGGCTTCTGTAAATAGCATCATAGAGTACGGTCTAGACCTGCTCTTTTATGAAAAGCGCTGTGAGATAACTGTTGTTGTGATTTGGCGCTATATAAATAAAATTGAATTGAATTGAAAAAGATTAACTTAATAAATAGTGTTTCCAAACCGTGTTTTTGCAGGCAATGCATCACATCTACAGGCTGGCGTACAGCTCAAAAACTATAAGGCCATCATCATGTGATATGTGAACAATATATATGAAACTATGCACTCTTATTTGCTTAACTATGGCATCCAAAACGGCATCAATTTAAATATCATTTGTCCTACTGTTCACCTCATTTATGAGAATAAATTGCACTGCATGCAAGTATTAATTACTATGATTCCCAATTAAAATGTACAACGTATTTAAGGTGTTCTCTTGCAAAAACAGATATCTCCGAAAACCGTTTCATCCCTCTCCAGTTTATGTGCATAGGCATGGCTCAGAGTTTGCATGAAGGACCGCACATTCTCCTGTCAACTTTGGTTTATATAGATCAGAACCCTTGAATGGGAAGTGGCATAAGCAAGTTTCCAGCCCGGTTTTGTGCATACACACTGTTATAAATGAGACCCTAAGACATGCTGTGTCTTAAACTTTGTTTTCACGGTGAAATTAGTTCATTGCAATGGAGGAGGCAAAATGAATCCAAGTTTTAGGACACCCCTCCGAGTCATTGAGTTCAGGTGTTCCAATAACTTCATGGCCACAGGTGTATAAAATCAAGCACCTAGGCTGCAGACTGCTTCTACAAACATTTGTGAAAGAATGGGTCGCTCTCAGGAGCTCAGTGAATTCAAGTGTGGTACCGTGACAGGGAGCCACCTGTGCAATATGTCCATTTGTAAAATTTCCTCACTACTAATTATTCCACGGTCAACTGTTAGTGGTATTATAACAAAGTGGAAGCCATTAGGAACAACAGAATCTCATGGCCGAGCAGCTGCATCCAAGCCTTCCATCACCAAGTGCAATGCAAAGCGTCAGATGCAGTGGTGTAAAGCACGCCGCCACTGGACACTACAGCAGTGAATCACACTTCTCTGTCTGCCAGTCTGATGGACGATTCTGGGTTTGGCAGGTTGCCAGGAGAACGGTACTTGCCTGACTGCATTGTGCTACGTGTAAAGTTTGGCGGAGGGGGGGTTATGGTGTGGGGGTGTTTTTCAGGGGCTGGGCTTGGCCCCCTAGTTCCAGTGAAAGGAACTGTTGATGCTTCAGCATACCAAGACATTTCGGACAATTTCACGCTCCCAACTTTGTGGAAGCAGTTTGGGGAAGGCCCCTTCCTGTTCCAACATGACACAGATGAGCGAGTTCGGTGTGGAGGAACTTGACTGGCCTGCACAGAGTCCTGACCTCAACCCGACAGAACACCTTTGGGATGAATTAGAGACTGTGAGCCAGGCCTTCTCGTCCGACATCTGCGCCTGACCTCACAATTGCGCTTCTAGAAGACACACACCTAAACCTCGTGGGCAGCCTTCCCAGAAGAGTGGAAGCTGTTGTAGCTGCAAAGGGTGCACCGATTCCATGTTATTAACCTTCATGTGCATGTAAAGGCAGGTGACCCACATCTTTTGGCAATATAGTGTATATCAGTACTTATGTGGGTATAATGTTATTATAACCAACATAAATGATGACCACAACTGAGTAAGAAAATAAGATACAAAGGGAATAATCCAATATTTCTGTCTGTTACCTTCAGTAATTCTTTGGCTCTGTTGTAGGGGTCTGAGGCATACAGCTCAATTTTGGACAGTGTCACATTGGGATAACTGTAGGAAATAACATGGTATTTACTTCAACAAAAGTGACGTACAAAAAGAATATCTTTGTTAGAGAGTAGGTTTTAATTATTAAAAAATACACACATTTTATATATTTAAAGGGGCTATATGTAGTTTTCAGCAGCCCGAGCGGTGAGGTTTCAGATTGCAACCACACTACCTTCCCAAGTGTGTGTTTGTGTACGTGCTAAAACTTATCAGATTCCGACACAACGGAGACGGCTTCCCACAAAATGCTGCAAACTCAGGTAAACTCCCACTGCAACGTAATATTATTATCAGCGTAACATTGAACTAATCAATGATCGCTGCATGACAACGTTAGAATGACTACATTTTGCCTTATATGTTGGCATGAGCTCACCTGCTGGCTTTTCGATGACTGTGTATGTTTGTGTTACTGTATCTTTCACTGGAGGCTCAGCAAAGTCAGCATAGCAAAATTTAATGGATGATAACAAAAACAATTAGTGAGCTAGACTGAATATTATAAATGAGATTGTTGGCACACTTTCTAACAGTTAGACCTGATACGCAACATTACTGTAGTGAATGGGTCTTCCACTGTAGTGTTTGTCCTGCATAGTTATGTTGCATTATTGAATATTATGTGGGTCACATAAGTTACAGTGACAACACTACTGCAAATTACCACAACACGACAGCAAATCACCACAACACTACTGCAAATCACCACAAGACGACAGCAAATCACCACTACTGCAAATCACCACAACACTACTGCAAATCACCACAAGACGACAGCAAATCACCACAACACTACTGCAAATCACCACAACACTACTGCAAATTACCACAACACGACAGCAAATCACCACAACACTACTGCAAATCACCACAAGACGACAGCAAATCACCACAACACTACTGCAAATCACCACAACACTACTGCAAATTACCACAACACGACAGAAAGTCACCATCCCACTACTGCAAATTACAACAACACTACTGCAAATTACCACAACACAACAGCAAATCACCACAACACAACAGCAAATCACCACAACACTACTGCAAATTACCACAACACAACAGCAAATCACCACAACACTACTGCAAATCACCACAAGACGACAGCAAATCACCACAACACTACTGCAAATCACCACATCACTACTGCAAATCACCACAACACTACTGCAAATTACCACAACACGACAGCAAATCACCACAACACTACTGCAAATCACCACAAGACGACAGCAAATCACCACAACACTACTGCAAATCACCACAACACTACTGCAAATTACCACAACACGACAGAAAGTCACCATCCCACTACTGCAAATTACAACAACACTACTGCAAATTACCACAACACAACAGCAAATCACCACAACACAACAGCAAATCACCACAACACTACTGCAAATTACCACATCACTACTGCAAATCACCACATCACTACTGCAAATCACCACAACACTACTGCAAATTACCACAACACGACAGCAAATCACCACAACACTACTGCAAATCACCACAAGACGACAGCAAATCACCACAACACTACTGCAAATCACCACATCACTACTGCAAATCACCACAACACTACTGCAAATCACCACAACACGACAGCAAATCACCACAACAGCAAATCACCACAACACTACAGCAAATCACCACACTACTGCAAATCACCACAACACTACAGCAAATCAACAACAACTGCAAATCACAACTGCAAATCACCACAACACGACAGCAAATCACCACACTACTGCAAATCACCACAACACTACTGTAAATCAACAACAACTGCAAATCACCATAAAACTACTGCAAATCACCACAACACTACAGCAAATCACCACAACACAACTGCAAATCACCATAACACTACAGCAAATCACCACACTACTGCACATCACCACAACACTACAGCAAATCACCACACTACTGCAAATCACCACAACACTACTGCAAATCACCACACTACAGCAAATCAACAACAACTGCAAATCACAACTGCAAATAACCACAACACTACTGCAAATCACCACACTACTGCAAATCACCACAACACTACAGCAAATCAACAACAACTGCAAATCACAACTGCAAATAACCACAACACTACTGCAAATCACCACACTACTGCAAATCACCACAACACTACTGCAAATCACCACAACACTACTGCAAATCAACAACAACTGCAAATCACCATAAAACTACTGCAAATCACCACAACACTACAGCAAATCACCACAACACTACTGCAAATCACCACAACACTACAGCATTGGTGAGACTGAAACGGAAAGGGTAGGTATGTATTGGACACTGATCCTCCTCCTTATTGGTTGCGCATCTCTGTCAGTCATGTTGTAAAGCATCTGTGTGTAGTAGAGCTCTACTGCAGTATTGCAGCTTATTTTCAAAGGAATATGGACCAAAACATTGATGTGAGTGAAATAATTCAGCATTATTTCAATGAAGGACACACATACAAGGTCATACTTGATCTGCTGTCAACTTTACACAACACAAGAAGCTGGGTTATTCTGGAGAAATAACTTCTCTCCCTTAGTAGATGTAAGGAATGCAATTTTGATGGAGTTACGTGGACCAGGGCAGTTGTTTGGTTACCGCACTATGTGGTACGGACTCAAACAGAAGTACAAACTTAGTGTTAAACGGAGTACTGTGATGAGGTTGTTGAAACAACTGAATCCGTGAGGGACTGAAATAAGGACCTGTCGTAGATTTGTTCGGCGCACTTATCATTCTATGGGCCCAAACTACATATGGCATGTGGATGGATATGATAAACTCAAACCATTTGGCTTTGCTTTATCAGGCTGTATAGATGGCTTTTCTAGGCAAATTATGCGGCTTGTTTGTGGACCTACAAACAATAATCCATAAATCGTCGCCCACAATTACATTAATTGTGCAGAGTATTGGTGTTGTCCCTTTGAGATTACGGACTGATCACGGGACAGAAAATGGGATAATGGCAGCTATTCAGTATACTCGCCGCAATCATCATGACGACTACTATGCAGGCTTATCAAACCACAACTATGGGTCATCTGTGAGCAATCAACGCATTGAATCCTGGTGGTCCATTTTCAGGAAAGGAAGTTATGTTCATTTGTCTTTTTACTAGTTCATAAAATAATGTTATATTTGGAATGCCACATATAGCATGACAGGTGTTGCATTAAAGGTAAACTACTATTTCTAGGGCTCAGTTTTGGATGGATTTGTTCAGGGACCTAAGGGACTCTGGACATTTCAATGGCAGCAATGAACACAGGTGCTTACTGAGATTCTGCTTCAGCAATCTTCTACAGAAAGACCTCAATGAATACGTCGACTTCTGGAACAAGCACAGGATTCGGCCATCCAGACCTGCGTCATGTCCCGGGGGAATCCCAAATGAACTCTACCTTTTACCTCACAGGTAATCAATATTAGGCCTAACTCCTATTAAACTGCACTGATAAATGTTGTTTTCTGTTCTTGGTTAATCACAGTGTTCTAGGTCTGATATTTGTTAGAGAACCGACCACTGTCAATCGTAATTTACTGTTACCGGGTAACAGATTTGAGCACTTCCTGTCATATCAATCCGCTGATAGACGTTTACATACCGCCTAAAAAAGCCAACATTTGTTCTAATGAGATTTCCACTAAAAAGATGTTTTATTAAAGGCATGTATGAATCTTTACAGGTTCGGTTCAAGGGACTGTGGATTTGCTATTGAAGGAATGGAACTGGAGGCATTTACTGAGTCAAGGCAGATCTTTTCTTCATGCGGTGATCCAGACATTCAGGACTATTTAGAGCATGCAATGGTACAAAATGGATTGCAGAGGCCAGAGCATTGGGAGGCATCATTAGAACTGTACTTTGATCTCAAGGAAATATAGATGGATTATAAATAGAAAATGACCTTCCATTGAGATGCAGGTCACTAATGACAGCACATGTACAGACACCTGTTTTTTGTTATTGTTTTTACATTTTATTACATAGATTTTTTCTTTGTTAAATGGAACCTCAAAGGACAACAGCCAATGGGCATGAATAACGATAGTGTCAAAAAAGTGCAAAATTCCTAAATCAAAGCGAAAGGCAATGCATTCTACAAACACTGTTGCTTCTGCCCAGGGAAAATGTACAACAAATGCAATGTGCTAAGGCAAGGCTCTTAAGCCATTTTATTTTCAGTGTAGGCTACTAGGTTATGTAGGAACACTCTACAACATCCTTTGCAAATAACACTGATTTTGTTTTTAATGATTGTGTAATTTTCAGCCTGGATCTTATTTTCCTATGTTTTTGTGTTTAAGTGACTGGTGGGAACAATAATTTTTTTAATTTGTAGTAGGCTTAATAAGCAAGACTGTTGCAGTAGGCAGTGACGAAACAAGCTAAAGCTACATTTTAAGTTATTGGGCAATTTAAGTCCACAAAAAATGCTTTCTGTAAGACACTGATCATGTCTGTGGTGGGTAAAACAAGCACTTTGCGCTCCTTCAATTTACTTCCACAAAAACATTAAAAAAATTAATATTACATTGGAGCCTGTTTTACCACTGCTGACTGCACCAGTCTGGCTTAACACTAGACCATTTACAAAGATTGTTGTTACCATCAGTCACTTAGACACAAAAACATGGTCCAGGTTGAAAAAACTGAAGATACCCTCTAAGTTACAATATCACATTCATTTACATGCACCCAAATCCTGGGGAATTATGGACACCAAAACCCATGTTTGTTTTGAGTAGACAGTATGAGTCCAGATGTGGTAACCTCAGCTTATTGGCACATGTATTTGCCATCGGGAACAGTGAATTGTTAAGGAATTCAATGCTTGGTGCAAGTGTTATCCCTGCAGGTGGCATTGATGACAGCCCTGTGGCAAACATTAGTACATCTTCCAGAGATACTGTAGTCTGTGTTTCTGCAAGATAAAGGAAGTCAAACTTTTAGTGCTTTAGTAAGTGTAGTGCATTACCTTAAAACACAATATAAAATATTTATAGCATACTTTCAAATATATGTTAATGTATAAAAGGTTGAACATTTCAAACCTTCAGTGTCAAAGAGATAATCAACCCAAAATTGCAGCGTTTTCCCTTCCTCCTGCCTTCTGTTGCTTCCTGCTGGACTTAGTTCTGGTCTGAAGAGGGCCTCCATGTCTGCCGCAGTTAGCTTCCTGTTTGAGTAGCATAGGACAGGCGCTAGCACACCAGGATGCTGCTGCAATGCTGCAGACTTCCTAGACCATCTTTGAATCTATTGACAAATGGTTAATTCACAAATTTTAAGTTTCAAATGAGACATTTAGCAGATGAAAAGGCACACATTTACCACTGATAATAGCGTATTCAAAGCATCTTTATCACAATCTTAGCTAGTAACTAGAAAATACATTTCCTGCAGAAAAAGCATGTGAATGCTGAGAGCTGAAATAAAAGTGTTTGGTGAAAATGCATTAATATAAAAAAACTGGGAAATATTTTGCATAGAAAATCTCAAAACTCAAATACACTGCACTGCAAAAAAACCTGCACTTAGTAGTTGTAGCAGCCTCAGCATGTGTAGCAGTAGCAAAAGAAAAGAAAGAAAAGAAAGAGGGAGAGAGATCAAACAGACAAAGGTCTAATCAGACAATAAGCATCAGCTGTGTGTAACTGTTTGTGGAGTAGGGTTGTGCGGTAATACCCTATACCAGTGAATATAAAAATAGTAATAGTATTACTTTAATTTAATAATTTTGTCTATGCCTTAAGAGTGTGTGTCTGTGTCCAGCAGCATCAATGCCTGTGTTTGAAGATGCTTTAAAAGTGTTACAGGCTCTTCCTCCCCCTGGTGGCCTGGTGAGAAAAATTATAGGTGGGACATAGTTGAATTGAAATCTTTATTTCGAACATGCAAGAGAAAGTATAAAAAAATAAAACAGTGATTAAAGAAATAGGAGAAAAAACCAACAACAGATAAGCAGCAAAAGTATCCTTCTTTCCTGTGTTAACATTCTTCCATCACGTGTGCAAAAAGGAGTAGTAAGAAGCAAAACTTAGGTAATCCTACCCCTTTAATTCTTACATTCCTTCAATTAAAATTTTGATATTATTATTATTATTATGTTATATATATATATATATATATATATATATATATATATACATAAAAAATACACATACACAAACATACACACATTTTTAGTTCAGCGGGTGATGGGTGGAAGATGGAACCATTGTCTATGGATGGAACACATTGATGTGAGGTGTGGGTGTGATCGCGGTGCCGCCCATGCTACAGGTGTTTTTGGTGTAAAAGTTCCATTATGCGCCCAGTTAAAGTGTACAGTCGTGTTCCAGCGCCCAGTACCACCACTGCAACATCTTCCTAATTCATTTCTCTGCAAAGTTGATTGGAACACTAAATATAGTTAGTTCTCCCAACTACAGTCAGAGCCAAAAAGCTGACAGATGACATAACTGCTGTAAATGATGTAGGCTCATCGCGCTTCATCTGACTTTGTAAGAGGAACTACACGGCATCAGAAGCATATGAGCTCTTCTGAAGACAGGGGAGGATGCTGTAGAAGTACTGAATAGAAAAACTAAAGTTGTGATACTTAATAAAAAGTTACCGCCCCAAAAAGCTGTCAAAACACCCATTATAAACTTAGGAATCGGCTGAAAAAAGCATAAAACTAAAACAGTGATTTTTCAAAAAAAACTCCAATATTTCAATAAGAAGTGATTTAGCTTCTTTCGAAGGGGGGTAGTGCGTTTAGGCTGAGGTGGTGGAGCGCAGCGGGGGGGCGAAAAAACTTGAGATGGATTCAACTTTTAGAGAAACGCAGTCCGTCACGCTACGGTGGCCAATCATGTAACCAGTAATCAGACTTGGCAGTCTGTTTTGAGGTGGTGTGAGAGTCCTGTACAGTAAACACAACACACCACTGCCTCTAAAAGTTTTAAAACACTGTAAGATTAAAAAGTTAACCAAATCACACCCATAAGTTTGTGTAACAGCTGACTGTGTCCTGCAAGACCAAAGAACAGTCCCTCAATCTCATGGTGCTGTTCTGCAGGAGGAGATCTTGCAGAGAACTGAAAAATATGACCTAAATGACTATTGGTTAACAATAACAAACAAGCCAGACAAATGTATAAAAAGGCTCATTACAGATGGCTAGGGTTCCCTCTTTTGACTCACTGTATATCCTCCACTGAACATTCTTAAAACAATGCTAAATCTTTTTAGAACTCTAGGTTGTATTATTACCTACCCATGACATACATCAGTTGCACCTGAGCGCAGGTTATGGAAAATATTTTCCTTCTCTCCTCTCAATTCCGTCCCATTTATAGCTACACCACATTTTACAAATATATAAAATCACATGGTTTGTAAGCCATGGGAGTAAATTGGGAAAGAGAGAGAAAACCCTACTGTCTGGAATCCATTGATGAGAGCAACTGATAAATATAACCACCAATATTCAGATATATACTGCATACACTGAACAGTACAATCAGTGCTCTAGCAAATTTCAGTATTGATTTAAAGAAATTTAAAGAATGTGAACTTCACGAGCATGTCATTGTTTTCAGAGTAAGAGCCTAGGACAGCTCCATCCCACACATCTGACCTAGCTACATTAAACCTGCTGACTTTTTTGTGGTCAAGAGCAAGTGACAAATCTGTAACGATTTCTTGAGCAGATGCACTTGTGTGACTAGAAAAAAGTAAAAATAAAGTAATAAATTACTTCAGATGTAAAAGATCTCATACTTGCATATTTAAATCACAAGAAGTTGGAACACAAATGCATACAACATAATTATAAAGGAAACTTCTGAGAGTACAGTCATTTGGGCACAGTACACAGTTAGGCAGCATTGTTTTTCAATCCATAGTTTTACCAGGATAGAGCAGCCAAATATGCAGCTCTACTGGGAGTCAACAACAAAGTGCAGAGTACCTGTTATTACTGTTATCCGACGAAGGTTAAAGTCAAGGGCAACTGGACTTGGTTGAAGATACTGGAAGACGTTTCGTCCCTCATCCAAAGGACTTCTTCAGTTCTGACTGACTGGCAGGGAAACTCAGCTATTTAACCATTTAACCACTGAGTTTCCCTGACTTTAACCTTCGCTGGATAACTGTGACCTGGATGACTGAGAATCTTCACAGACATCATGTTATTACTGTTGTAATAATTTAGTGACTTACTCAGGTTCCTTTGTCAAAATATGTCTTTCATTAGCAATTTCCTCCACCTCATCTTCATCATCAATGACAACTGGCGAATACAGGTCTGTGTACTTCCTGCAAAAAGAACACCAACGTTTTCTCATACAAGAAAAAACTTCCACACTTAAATACACACCCATAATAATTGCTCCTGGTGGCAGAAGATCCTGTGGTACTTTGAATAGCTTCCTCTGTATCAGACAGTATAATCTGAAATATGTAGAAAATCATTGGTTTTTAAAAAAAAACGTGATATATTAAACTACAAAAGATTCAAAAGTCTGCCAGTGCAATACCTGAGATGGGACATTTTATATTTAAATGGGGAGAAAAACACAGTACTTCACATAAGGTTGCTGGAGTCAAATGTATGTATTCCAGTAGCCACCTTTTGTAAAGAATACCTACCTACCTACCTATTACCTAGAATAGAAAGCTCCAGCTAGAAAGTATTGGGGAAACTGGCAAGTACGCCTGGTGCCTTGTGGGCCCTGCCAACCGTCTTACCTTTCTCAAAAATTTGTGATCCTCTGATATGCTTTCCCAACTTGTGCCTTATATTCCTTCAGCACAAAAGGACGGTCTGTTCAAGGCACATCAACATGAATCTGGGTACAAGAGGATGAAGGGTCTGTGGTCTTCAAGATCCCTATTGAAGTCCTTCATCTTCTTCTCAGGGTCTATAAGCAATGGAAGTGTTTTTTCACACAAAGGTTTTAAAACACCCTTCTGCAGTGCCATCAATCCAATATTTATCTGCAATAGAAAACATGGAAAACTCATTTTCATCTGTTTATATAGCAGGTATATTAAAAATACCTGCACACATAAACACACATAAATGTACCAGTATATTTAAAATCCTGTCTACATTACAGCTCATTTTATCAGTTCTGTAACCAGTTTACCACAGTCTATTCTATTTTACAGTATTATTTGCTATAGGCCTTTGTTGCTTTATTTTATATTTTAACCTGGTACTGTTTTCTCTTTTTCTCTTTTACTACATGTGTGATTTTCATTTTGTAAAACATTTCATTGTCAGCATACTGCTTCAGTAGTATAATAGTTGTGCACATGACATTAAAAGAACTTTGACATTAAAAGAATTTTGATTTGAAAGTATTTTGATAAAACGTAACTTACCTCGACACTTTTCCCATTCCCCCAAATGAAAAGTCTTTCCTCTGACTTTTTCTTGCGGTATTGCAAAAAAGTACAAAGAGTTGGGTTTGTGGATCCGCACTGGTTTGACACCAACTCTGGATGAGAAGCAAAAATAACATTAAACATTATCTGGCAAATTATTTAGACAGAGCTCAAAACCGTTTTCTGCTTTGCAAAAAAAGATTATGTTGCACCACAAGCTTCTCAACTATCATCAAATGATAATGTAACGTTGCCAATTAAATAACGGCATACTACATTACTTTTTTAACAGGTGTTGCAGAGGCTTTACCAGCTCACCTTTTGGGTCGTTTTGGCTCAATAGCGTGACTACGATACAGCTTACCTACGACACTGAAGTTTCGCAGCTTCCGATTCGGCAGTTAAGGGGGAAATTATTTATTCACTGCGTTAAGGCTTTGCCCAGAATGCAGCTTTCACAGCAGTAAGAGGTGCAAAAAAGAATCGGTTGCTCAGCAAATGTAGGTTAACTTTCACTTAAGTTCCCCTTAACTGCCAAATTGGAAGCTAGGTACAGTGTCGTAGTTTACCTGCGGTAGGCAGAACTCGCCATGACTCCTAGCTTACTAGATGCTAGATGTCTGGTGCCGGTTTTATATTTCGTGGCTATAACATAATGTTACATAACGGTATATGTTAATAACAATGCATTACACATCACTTAGCTTCAAATACAGCAAAGTTGATAATGTTAATGTTGTTAATGTTACCTGAATACGCTGCGCTCTCAGGTGTAGCTTCATCAGTGGTGGCTTCACATTTGTCAAATAACACTCTGGGAAGCCCTTTGCCACAGCTACTGTAAAAACTTGGCTGTAGTTTTGAAAACAATTTCTTGCCACAGTAAGAGCAATAATACATTGTAACGTTAACATCATTTCTCTTTCCACAGTAACGTTAGCCTCTACCCTACATTCCCCCTTCACTGCCGATGAAGAAACTGTAAAAGTTTGTTATGCATTGAAAATGACAGACAGAGATATGCAACCAATCAGGACGAGGATCAGTATCCAATATGTACCTACCCTTTCCATTTCAGTCTCATCAATGCTGTAGTGTTGTGGTGATTTGCAGTTGTGGTGATTTGCTGTAGTGTTGTGGCGATTTGCTGTCGTGTTCTGGTGATTTGCTGTCGTGTCGTGGTGATTTGCTGTCGTGTTGTGGTGATTTGCAGTTGTGGTGATTTGCTGTTGTGTTGTGGCAATTTGCTGTCGTGTTGTGGTGATTTGCAGTAGTGTTGTGGTGAGTTGCAGTTGTGTTGTGGTGATTTGCTGTAGTGTTGTGGTGAGTTGCAGTTGTGTCGTGGTGATTTGCAGTTGTGGTGATTTGCTGTCGTGTTGTGGTGATTTGCAGTAGTGTTGTGGTGAGTTGCTGTCGTGTTGTGGTGAGTTGCTGTCGTGTTGTGGTGACTTGCTGTAGTGTTGTGGTGAGTTGCTGTAGTATTGTGGTGAGTTGCTGTAGTATTGTGGTGATTTGCTGTAGTGTTGTGGTGAGTTGCTGTCGTGTTGTGGTGAGTTGCTGTAGTGTTGTGGTGAGTTGCTGTAGTGTTGTGGTGATTTGCTGTAGTGTTGTGGTGATTTGCTGTAGTGTTGTGGTGATTTGCTGTCATGTTGTGGTGATTTGCTGTAGTGTTGTGGTGATTTGCTGTCGTGTTGTGGTGATTTGCTGTAGTGTTGTGGTGACTTGCTGTTGTGTTGTGGTGATTTGCTGTAGTGTTGTGGTGAGTTGCTATAGTGTTGTGGTGATTTGCTGTAGTGTTGTGGTGATTTGCTGTCGTGTTGTGATGATTTGCTGTAGTGTTGTGGTGATTTGCTGTCGTGTTGTGGTGATTTGCTGTAGTGTTGTGGTGAGTTGCTATAGTGTTGTGGTGATTTGCTGTAGTGGGATGGTGATTTGCTGTTGTGTTGTGGCGATTTGCTGTCGTGTTGTGGTGATTTGCAGTAGTGTTGTGGTGAGTTGCAGTTGTGTTGTGGTGATTTGCTGTAGTGTTGTGGTGAGTTGCAGTTGTGTCGTGGTGATTTGCAGTTGTGGTGATTTGCTGTCATGTTGTGGTGATTTGCAGTAGTGTTGTGGTGAGTTGCTGTAGTATTGTGGTGATTTGCTGTAGTGTTGTGGTGAGTTGCTGTAGTGTTGTGGTGAGTTGCTGTAGTGTTGTGGTGAGTTGCTGTAGTATTGTGGTGATTTGCTGTAGTGTTGTGGTGAGTTGCTGTAGTGTTGTGGTGAGTTGCTGTAGTATTGTGGTGATTTGCTGTAGTGTTGTGGTGATTTGCTGTAGTGTTGTGGTGAGTTGCTGTCGTGTTGTGGTGAGTTGCTGTAGTGTTGTGGTGATTTGCTGTAGTGTTGTGGTGAGTTGCTGTAGTGTTGTGGTGAGTTGCTGTAGTGTTGTGGTGAGTTGCTGTAGTGTTGCGGTGAGTTGCTGTCGTGTTGTGGTGAGTTGCTGTAGTGTTGTGGTGATTTGCTGTAGTGTTGTGGTGATTTGCTGTCTTGTTGTGGTGATTTGCTGTAGTGTTGATTTGCTGTAGTGTTGTGGTGATTTTCAGTCGTGTTGTGGTGATTTGCTGTAGTGTTGTGGTGATTTGCTGTCGTGTTGTGGTGATTTGCTGTAGTGTTGTGGTGATTTTCAGTCGTGTTGTGGTGATTTGCTGTAGTGTTGTGGTGATTTGCTGTCGTGTTGTGGTGATTTGCTGTAGTGTTGTGGTGATTTACTGTAGTGTTGTGGTGATTTGCAGTTGTGTTGTGGTGATTTGCTGTAGTGTTGTGGTGATTTGCAGTTGTGGTGATTTGATGTGATGTTGTGGTAATTTGCTGTTGTGTTGTGGTGATTTGATGTGATGTTGTGGTAATTTGCAGTTGTGTTGTGGTGATTTGCAGTTGTGTGGTGGCGATTGTGGTTTGCACTTCAGGGCCACCGTGGTCCAATAGGATCAAAGACAACTGTGTCTGTTTTGTAATGTTAAGTGCCCTTATTTTGTAACACCAGGAACCGGAAATGTAGAGTACAGAAGTTGTCAGAGATGTAAAACAAGCAGAACGAGGAATAACGTTAGTGCCCACTTAGAGTAAGAAAGCTTTTGGTGTGCCAACCCTGCGGATGGATTGGGATGCATCCAATTTACCAGACGCATGCTGGCGATTCAAACAACATGCCGAGCTCATGTTCACGGGTCCACTTAAAAAGAAAACAGAGGAAGAGAATTGCAGCTTTCCCCTGCTGTGGATTGGGGTCAAAGGACGGGATATAAATAACACATGGACATTATCTGAGGATGACGCTAAGGTGTTTAAAACCATATATACGCAGACATCCAACTGGGACCACAGAAGAAAATACTGACATTTAAATTGGACACTGGAGCACAAACAAGTGTGATACCAGCAAAAGACTTTGACACACTCATGTCTGGCACACCACTAATGACTGCTAAACGCAAGCTGTTTGGCTACAGGGGGCATCTGCTGAAAGTGAGCGGTTACTGCAACCTAGTAGTCAGATACAAAAATAAGTCAACCACCCAGAGGTTCCACGCCATGAAGTGCAACGGCCCTCCCATCCTGGGTTAAAGAGCATATAAAAATCTGGGACTCATTAAGGTGGTGTATGCAGTCACAGACACTAACACCCAGCCAGCTGACATACTGAGTGAATATTCAGACGTTTTAAAGGCATTGGCGAGTTTCAAGGTGAGTGCAGCTTCAGGATAGACCCCAATGTAGCACCAGTAGTCTGCCCGCCACGGACGGTTAAAAACAGAGTTGGACGGACAACATGGCAAGGGACGGCACAATCTGGAGTGACTGAACCCACCCAGTGAGTTAATGCCCAGGTGACGTGTGACAAACCAAAAACACACAAGCGAGGGGTGAGGATGAACCCAGACAAATGCTGTATCTGTGTGCCTGAAGTGAGTTACTTTGGACACAGACTCACAGCTAACGGCCTGAAACCAGACCCCCTCAAGGTAAAAGCAATCAGAGAAATGCCGCCACCAGCGAACGAGGCAGCGCTGGAGACGATCCTTGGCATGATGAATTACCTCGCCAGATTCGCTCCCAACCTAGCTGGGGTCCAGAACTGTATTTAGCTGCATGGAACTTTAAAGGGCCTTAAGAGGGACTGATGACCTTTCTAGGGTGTACTTTCGGCCGATGTAAGCTGGGATTGGTTCCAGCCCCCTGTATGCAGGAGAAGTGGTTGACGATGGATGGATGGATGTAACTTTAAATGATGATTTAGTCACAGAATTCAAATGGGACACGGCACATGAAAAAGCTGACAGATGAAAGAGACTATCACAGCTGAGCTGGGGCCAGTGTAGGCCTATTTTGACCCCAAAAAGGAAGTGACACTTCAGGTGGACATGTCGAAGAATGGCCTTGGTGCAACTATTACGCAGGAAGGCAGACCACTTGCAACAAAACTACGCCCTAACGGAGAAGGAACTCTACGCTTGATGTAAACAAGCAGAACGAGGAATAAAGTTAGTGAAATATACTCCCAGACAACTGCGTCGACCTGGAATTATTTATAATAAGCAGGCAAGCACATGTTTTGTCTGTTCCAGAACAAAACGGAGGTCTCTCTCATGACTCAAGCCTTTCTGATATTGACTGTGTTTTCACCCGGCATCGATTTGATTCTCATTTGACCTGACGGGCTCCAGGGCATGAAACAGTTTTGTTATTTTTTATCCTTAAGCTCTGGACATACTTGCTTTTAACTACTCAAGATGGCTGCCATGCTGTGTCATATGATGTGCAAATTCGGAGGTTGTCAAGGAAAATAATCTGGTGTCGGCGAGGGATGATCCGGTCCTGGTCTGCCCCCTAGTGGATTTACGTTTAATCCTCCAGGTACACGCAAAGTATGCATGCAAGTATGTGAACAATGTTGTCTGCATCGCAGACGCCTCTCTACGCCTACGCATTGTTAAAAACTGTCGGGGGCTTATTTTTTGGCTTGTAACCATTTGGTTAGCTGCGGTGTTGTAGCTGTGTGTATGGCTCAGAATCAGAAGGCAGGATGCTCGGGAGCATGCATGCAGAAAATCTGACCCAATTTCCACACATAAGATTAGAAGAATAGTGGCAGTTCCAACAAACAGAGAAAGCAGGCGTGTGGTTCATCAGCCCATTGACAAATAGACAGTAAAAAGTGATTTATTGATGTGATGTTATCGTGTTAGTGATTTTATTAAAAAACTACATATAGCCCCTTCTACTTCAAAAACAGATAGTATTAGTATTGTCAAGTACATCTCCAGTTGTCTCAGTATGTAACTCTTTCTTCTGTTACACAGCTATTCTTATTGTCATTGGGACTTTGGCACTGTGATAATTACACATTACACTTCAAAACAGATTTATCCTCCCAGAAAAGCTGTGAGATTTGATTTATGTTGACTGGTTATTACAGTGTCAGGGGTCAGATCATTGATCACATGCAAATTCAATGCTTACATGCTTACATTTGTAAAAATGCATTACTCCCCCTGGTATTGTAATTGCTCAGAGGGGAAAAAAGTTAACTTAATTTGGTATTTTTGAACCTGTGCTCTATTTTCACATATTTTTGTGTTGACGTGAGTAGGAGGTACAAAAGGTTTTGGAATCTGTGCAGTAGATAGCTTTAGTCGGCAGCTAAACTGGCTTCCTTTGTCAAAATGACATCTACAAAAAGTGCTTCTTTCTGCCACTGACAGGTTCAGACTGTTAAACCAGGTGTCTGAAAACATCATGGAATGGATCCCTACGAGGGACTCATAGTGACACGTTTTGTTTTTGATGGGAAACTGTCTCACTCAAGGACAATTCTCGCTCTAAAATCTCATTATATTAACATATATCATATATGATATAAAAATTATCCTTAAAATATGCTTGTTAAGAGGTTGAAAACTACATTAGAAAGAGTTCTTGCCATATACCTGTAACCACTGCCTTTCTTGGGAGGTGAGGTGACCATGTTGCGTCCAGGTGAGCGATAGGCTTTCCGGGCAACTGACAGTGGACTCATGGCTTCAACTGGTCCTGACAAAGTCCCATAATAACTACCTGAACCACAGCTGGAGGCAGAGAGAAATGATGTAATAGTGAGAGAGTAGTAAATATAGCAAATGAGTAGATGTGATTGTACTTGTGGTTTTAGAACTATGTCACAAGAAATTACATTTCGTGCTGAATCCCCTAAATCACTGTCCTGCGATTCAGCATTAATTTTTTATCTGTAATTTGATTCTTACCAGGATAAAAGGGAAACTTGTGAGACCACATTTAAAGCAGCATCTTTAAAGGGGGCTGTTTATTACCATCTAGGACACAACGCTCTCCACTAATGGAGTTATGTAAACTGAGGTTCAGGAACAGGACCACGCCTCTCTCACTAATCTGACCACCTGCGCCTCATTCAATTCCTCCAATCAACCACTCGTGCTTCACTCATTTCATCCACCTGTGCCTCTCTAATCCAATCACATGCACTCACGTATCTAAGCCTGTCTAACTCGTTTTCTCTCCCATTTCTCAGTTCTCACTTCCCTCCCACCCAAACCACGTTTGTTGTTTGTTGTGGCCCAGTGGTCAGCACTGCAGCCTCACAGCAAGAAGGTCCTGGGTTTAGACCTCGCTCAGCCCAGGCCTTTCTGTAGAGTTTGCACATTCTCCCAGGACCACAGGAACCACAAGGGGGTTCATAAGACCAAGCCGCTTATCGAGATGAGCCCCCACCCTGAGTCTTGACTCCTCGGGTTCCTCGCCGCTCCAGCCACCAAACCTGAAACAACCTCCTCGACCCCTTCATCCCTCCATCCTTGATCCCTTCATCCCTCCATCCTCGACCCCTTCATCCCTCCATCCTCGACCCCTCCATCCCTCCATCCTCGATCCCTTCATCCCTCCATCCTCGATCCCTTCATCCCTCCATCCTCGACCCCTCCATCCCTCCATCCTCGATCCCTTCATCCTTGATCCCTCCATCCCTCCATCCTCGACCCCTCCATCCTTGATCCCTCCATTCCTCCATCCTCGACCCCTCCATCCTTGATCCCTCCATCCCTCCATCCTCGACCCCTCCATCCTTGATCCCTCCATTCCTCCATCCTCGACCCCTCCATCCTTGATCCCTCCATTCCTCCATCCTCGACCCCTCCATCCTTGATCCCTCCATCCCTCCATCCTCGACCCCTCCATCCTTGATCCCTCCATCCCTCCATCCTCGACCCCTCCATCCTTGATCCCTCCATCCCTCCATCCTCGACCCCTCCATCCTTGACCCCTCCACCCTCGATCCCTTCATCCCTTCATCCTCAACCCCTCCATCCTCGATCCCTTCATCCCTCCATTCTCGACCCCTTCATGCCTCGACCCCTCCTTTCATAACTATTCATTACAATAAACCACTATAACATCTAACATTGGCGTGGTCCTTGTTTTTGACATTTTATGCACAATCTTAGTATACACACCAAGATTGGAAAGTAGAATTTAAAACATTAACATATATGTTTGTGCATGCGTTCTGTGTGTGTGTGTGCTTGTGTTCTCTCACGGCTTCTTGACCCCGTTACAGGGCAGAAAGGCCTTGCCTAGGTTCTTCTTGGCCTGCTGGATGCGGTTCTGTCGAGCCAGTCTTGTCGGGTCACTCAGTGCCTCACGTTCAAATATCCTTTTAAAAGACTTATCAAAAAAGCCGCTCTGCAGAGCACATCGTTGTTTAGCGAAGCCCGCCTGCATCTGCCTGCTACGATAGGCTGACTCATTGAATGGACCTGAATCGGAAAGGGAGACGCCAAAGGTTTACATTGAAACCTGCATTATTTTTGATAACAATCTCTATACATGCATCTGTGTCACCAAACAGGTGGATGTAGGTGATGTTTAAATTGAAGTAAACCTCTGCTCATCAAACGTGAGTATTTATTCATGACAGCAAGCTAAGTTAACACAAACATACAGCATGGCATTGTCTTCTTTTATGTCACCATGTAAGTGCTTACATGAGAAGAGCACTAACACTCCTATCACTACAATTCATGGTTTTCAGTCACGTGACATGCGCTGTGACCTGTAGGGCAGAATAACAGACCAGGACGGCGGCTCACACTGGACTCCCCGTAGAGACACAGCAAAAGCGTTAACATTTCCCTTCCCACAGTTATTCGGATCACCTCTCAACTCAAGAAAAAGAAAGATATGGACACAAACTGCCTCATGTTGGGGTCTTGTGATCCATATACAGCACCTGCTGCCGTATTTCTACCGTTAAAAAACGCCATGTCCCTGTTAGAGCTCGACTGCGGTGATGTTTATGTTTACCTTGTGGAGAATCCCTCACCTTACACATTACGCTTCACCGCTTCACCTCGTTGATTAGTCTGATAGCACAACAACTATCCGGCTTAACTATCACAGTTAACCCCTTAACGCCTGAATTTATTTACAATCAAAAAATAAAAAAAATTATTTGTGTTTTCATTTGCTTTCAAGCTGAAGTAAATGAAGATTGTTAATATGTGTATAGAACATGGAAAAGATATAAATTCAGGTATGTGTAGGTATGATGCAAATTAGCGACAGCAGGCATAAACGAGAAACCAGGGCTTGCAAAAGGTTCCTCAGTACGTATCGAATATGCACCAACAGGCATTGGGGGAATCTTGGCTTGCAGTCTGCAAGGAAGAGGTATGATGCGAATTTGCGACAATCGGCGTCAAGGGGTTAAGGGGCGAACAACACTTTACTACGAACAACCCCCTTAACAAGCCCCTTAACTGTGATATAATAAGCGTATACCATGAGCTATTGCTTAAGTATATAACTAAACTAAACTATTGTTTCATTTTATGTTATTTATTTTAAATGTTAAAATATTTTAATACATATTTGAATATCTGTTAAGTTCTGTGTGTAACATGAAGGCACTACAAACGTTTCGTTATACCTTTTGTTGTATCATGATGATACTTGTAATCTTGTAAAAAAAAATCATATTTACTATAGGTTATAGGCTGAATCAGACAGATAAATAAATAGATACTGTGCTTACGGTTGGTGGGTGGAGCATACTTGTCTCCTATAGAGATGTAGCTCATCTCTTTAAAGACACCAAGGCGCTCCATGTCAATCTTCCCATCAACTGATGGCATCTTTACACACTGGAAACACACACACACACACACACACACACACACACACCTGTAATACTTGTGTATAACACTTCTGGGCACTATTAGAAATCATAGTGTGTACCTTCAAGGAAAGGTTTAGGCAAGTTTTTTTTAATCTAAAGCAGATTGAGATGTTGCACATGGTTCACTCACTGTAGGGGACAGAGTGAACCATTTTAATATAATGCAGTCTTATGCAACCGCTAACTATGACATGAAAAATCAACTAATCAAGTGAGCACTGTAATCCTGTATTAACTTGACAAAGGAGGACACATGATGTAAAACCATAGACTGTATAACACACACAATAAACAAAGACAGACTTAGAGACATACAGATACAGGTCTTAACATACCTGCAGGTGACGTGTAGCAGTTAGAGGACTATGTGTCTCTGTGTGTACTCTGTTGGTTACCTTGGAGAAGGGGAAGTAGAGGATCTTTCCTGGAAGTAAGGCAATTTTTGCCTTCAAAATAAAGGCATACAATTTGCTTGATGAATTAAAAATTGTGTACTGTGTTTTTCTGTATAACTTTATTTCAAGCATGTACTCTCTTTAGAATTATTTTAGAGCACAATGCTCTTGGGCCTGTTGTAATTGTAGTGCTAAAGATATTATGGATATTTTAAAACTCGAATCCATTCCACATGTGTGCAGATGTTGGCCCAGTTGAAATACTGAACTTTATCAGTAGTAAATTTAATTGTTTACTACAGCATTCCCAAAAATACTATACATAATGGATTAACATTTCAACTTTTGCATGTCATATTCATTTTATTCAATCATATATTGCAAAAGCTTTGACACATTGATGCAAATGATTCTGTACAGTTGTCTGCTGTTTCCTACATTTTCAGTTGGTTATGTCATGCTGATCACAATGCATTATACCAGTCTCTGGTGAATAGTCTTACCCCCCCAAAACATCTAGGCACAAGTTCACCACATAAGTTACCACATGCAGAATGGTTGACAAGTTGTTAGTTAGTTAAATAAAGTCACACTTTATTGTCATCCTTCGCACACAAGTATACAGCTGCATGAAATTTTGTTTGGTACAGACCATAAACAAAGTAAGAATAGACAACAGCATATCACAACATGCTACAATAGCAACACTCAGATCATTCACCCACAATACCACACACAGTAAAAAGAAACAATACACAGTGAACATTGAATACTGCAAATTGCCAGTAGATGTGTGTGTGTGTGTGTGTGTGTGTGTGTGTGTGTGTGTACGTATAGACAGACAGACAGACTAAAATAACTTCATGAAGCAATGAAATGAAAACTCCATACATGCCATAAAATGTGCTCAATAAGCTAGTGGTTGAAAGACGGGGTGCAACATAAGAAAGCTATATTAACCTAAAATAGATATAGCCTATGTTCATATTAAAATTTAGTATTTCAATATTCAGCCTCACATAAGAAAAATAAAACCTATTTATTGTAACGGCTGCGTCAGGGTGTGTGAAACGAACTGGGAGCAAATTCTAAGCACTAAGTAGGCTTATCCTGCTGTACTGTAAAAACCTTTAGGCAACAATAGCCTAAGGCTTTTAATCAGTCTCTGTAGGATTATATCGCTATAGTCAGGAGTTTCTCCACATCAAACATAAAGCAGCCTATTGGCTAAAACAATCTGTGGGATTTCCTACAGATGGTGATGTCATTTTCCAAGAGAGCTGATTGGTCAGTAGGCGACGTGGTAGACTTTTTAGATTTTGAGCAAGTTAAGGGCTTTTGCAGGTAAACAACTGTAATGTGCTGTACTACCTGTTTTGAGAAATGCACTTACTGTGCATTGGCAAATGTTAAGGATGATTCGAGAAATGTACCAAAGTGACTGAGAAAAACTGTAACTGTTATGAGTCTGCAGTTCTCCTCCCTGACACCTTGTGTTTATGTTCTCTTCCCTCCCTGTGTCTCCTGTTAGTCTGTCTGTCTCTCTGTGTTGTCTGGGCGCGGCTTCTCAGTCTGGGCCTGGCTCTCCACCTGCACACCTGATCCACATTCCACTAATCAAGACTCTGGTTCTTCACCTCTCTTGTCACCAGATTGTGAGCTTACCTCAGTGGTATTTGCGCTGCGGCCTGCAAGTCTTAAGTTTTATATTCTGTTGTTTGTTTTTGTGAGATCACTTACCTTGTCTCTCTGTGCTCAGGGTCACTGCCTGCCTGGAGATTCTGCCACTGCCTCATCCAGCTCACTGCCCGCCTGGAAATCCACTCGCTGGTCTCCATTCCCCGGTCTGCCCTCTGCTCTGCTCTCACACCCCTTTTCAATAAACTTTAAATTCCTGGATTTAAACCTGCCCCAAGTCTGCTCTTGAGTCCATTCGCCTAGTCTGCCGTAACAGTAACATGAATGTTTCATTTAAACAATGTTGCTAAAGTGGTTTCAAAATCATAAAGTTTACATTTGAATATGACAACAAGATTAATCCAATCAAGACAAAAAATCTGAATACTGTCTGAGGCAGTGAAGAAGCCAAAAGGGATTGAAAGACAGAAGTCACAAAAGGAGGCATTCAACATACTGTAGTGTACCAGCTACTCACTAAATAGAAGTTGCAGTCCTGTAGTCAAATCATGACCGGGAAAAGATAACTAGCACATGGAATCTCACGTCAAAACAAGTGGACCAGCCGGCGTAAACGTCGGAGAAGGAAGACAGGAAAGCTAGCGAGGAGAAGAGTGAAACTACATCAGGTTGGACCAAAGGCTTTCCCTCTCCACAGCCTACTACTGGCTAATGTCCAGTTGCTGGTGTAACAGTGTAAATAATTAATGTTTATGGTTAAATTCCTGTTAAACTTGGGAACCATGGTTCTTCTACTCAGCTGTTTTTTATTTTGTTAATGAAAATTCACAGCAAAAGGGTGTTTTGTGCTAAACACAGTGCATTATGGGGGGCCCAGAGTAGTTGGGAATGCCATGCTATAGTTCGAGCGAGAGCGGACATCTGATCAACTTCTCATTCATGATAAACAACTGTGGTTGTGTTTGTGTCCCATTGTTGCAAAGTAAACTACTCTGAGTGCTCCATCCATTTGACTCCTGCGAAGTTTTTGGGGGATAGCAGACAGAACTAGATAGAGGAGGTCACACTGGCAGTGCTTTAAGTGGGAAAAAAATAGGTGCCAGTACTCTCCAATAACGTGTTGGTGTATGTATTAGCTGCCAGCTACCAAATAATCAAAACCATTTATGTAGAACAACAAGTTCAACAATTCAAAAGTTTGCAGTCTACAAGGGCGTTGGCTGAGTGCAGTCTAAGGTGTGGACCCAAATGCAGACAAGAAGTTACAAGAAACAAGAAGTTGCAGATAAGACGTGCAGTTCAAAATATTTATTAAATATAATATCAATATTTATTAACTCAATAACCAAACTGAAACAAGCTTAAAGGCAGGGTAGGTAAGTTTGAGAAACTAGCAAGAAACTGCTGGATTTTGAAAGTATCCAACAGAGAAACTCCCACCCCCTCCCTTCTGGGCTCCTTCCAAAGCCACGACCCCAAAACATGTGAAGTGTGACGAGCGGAGAGGAGCGCAGTGCAGCGGCTCATATCAGGGGTAAGAAAACATCTAACTTTATCATTATGAAAAGAAACAACTTACCCGGCTGTTAGTACTCACTATCAAGCTAGCATGTTATATTGGATAGGTTTAAAAAGACCGAGTTTTAATCAGTAACGAGCTGGCTAGCTAACTGTTAGCATCAGGTAGCTGTGCTAACAGCTGCGGAAACACTGGCCAAAGCTAAAAACAGGCTGATAAATTTTCCCGTTTCCATCAGTTACACTACATGAAAGTTAATTTCGTGTTAGACTCATAACATGTACGTTGTTTTGCATGTTAGAGCTTCCATGGTGACAGCATTATGGTCTCTGATGAGGACTGCACTCCAGAGCCAAGCACAGACCGGGACAGGACCGGGGTCAAGGCGAGGCAGAGGAGGGAGGGCAGCCAGGGTCCGAAGAAGAAGAGGCAGGACGGGGAGGACGAGGTGCAAGCCAAGGAGCAGATATTGTAGGACCTGCGTCGACCTCCAACAACGATATATGAACAGGTGTGTATATATATATATATACATATGTTAATATTAGTATATTATTTCCCAGTGTGCTTGTCTTAAAGTTTCTCTGGTGTTTCCCCCGAAGCCCTTTTGGTGTCAAAACATAAAGTGCTTTATAAATGTAATCCATCACTATTGTTATTACTTTTTTATTATTGTTTACTGATTACAACAACTAACTACAGCTCTGCTTCAGCCATGGGCTCATCTGTGTCATGTACATTGACCTGGTGCGTCTACCAAGTAGAGCATTTTTTAATTTAGTGACTGAAAACAACCCACAAAAATGAAACTGCTGTTTTGTCCAACTGGAATTAATATTATAGGCTACTAATGGTAAGCTTTAGTAGCCTGTACTATTATCTGAAATTATAAAAAATATACAAACATTAGCACTAATCAAACCTTAAACACAGTGGTGTCAGAAAAATATCAGAAAATGGTTTTATTTGTGAAACAGCTGATTCTCAACTACTAAACTATCTGTAGGCAGATTATGCAAATAAAGTGTAACCTGTAAATATATTATTATACTAACATTATCCTTTCTATTTAATGTTATTTATTAAAACACTAATTTATACATTTACTCCTTCAGGTTGTGGATATATTTTGTTTATCAAATAGTCAGAAATAACAAGAAAATGTATAGATTTTGGTTGTAAGGCAACTCCTTGCCTTTACTGTTAGAGTACAGATCATGCTTACTGTTGCAAGAATTCAACCCCCAAAGGTCCATTCTGAGCCAGGAAAAACCCTGGACGAGAAGGTGCAGCAACCGGAAGGGGCCATCCGTGCTCCGCCACCAGGTGAAGAAGATGTACAATTTTATGTTGACACCAAGTTTGTAGGACAAACGGTGCAGTAGAACATAGATGCTGATCGACGTATATATTATATCAACAATGGGAATTTCCTAAATAACAAGTAAATGCGTGTGAGAGCTGCCAGCTGTTAGCTGTGACTACTACCACTGCAAAGTGCTGCTCATTCAGCAATTTTTCAAATCCTGCAGTGCCACCTACAGGAAAAAGACTCATTATATGCCACAGACGTGCACCGCAAACGCCAATCCCACTGTTGCAGAATAAAATGAAGACACAGAAAACAACTAATCTCATGAAAGACTTATTTCCATGTGAACAATGATTACATTTAACAATGCAGCATATTTTATATATTGGTTATGAAAAATCTTACCAGAAAAGCAGCCAGATAAATGAACTGAAGTTAAAAGCACGATATTTTCCTCTGAAATGTAGTATAGTGGAAGTATAAAGTCACACGAGTTGGATGTATTAAAGTAAAGTACCTCAAATTTGCACTCTAGTAGAGTACTTGAGTAAATAAACTTGT